TCCTCTGGGAATTGGGAATCCACTGGAAATCCCAATTTGGGAATTCTCAGCTTCTTTTTCCTGCCCCTGTCAAGGTCAGGATTGAAGGCACTTGAGATGGTATTTTGTGTTCAGGCTTAGATTTCTTATTTCTTATTTATATTACAAATGTGAGTTCTAGAGCATTCTACTAACAAGGCATAAAATGGCTAATTGTCTTTTGGTACAAGGTCTTTTAAGGCTAAACTGTCCAATTAAAACATGACACCTAAATTATTTTCACTTTTAACCCAATAACTAATCACTCATGTCCCACAACGTGGACTTTTCTGTGCAATTACAAAATACCACCCAAAGCCATGAAAAAGGTGAGGAAGAACAACCAGCCACGGCCCTAAAACCTCCATCTTGCCCCATATATTGGTTTATTCTAAAACCTTAAACTCTAAATTTTCCACTCCGTGACATCACACACTTCTAATCAAACTCCACACCCATAATCCCAGTGCTGTCAATCAATTTTGGGAGCCTTCTCCAAAAGGCTTCAGGTCAAATTTAGTATTTTCTTGTAGGTCTGTGCCCTTCAGCACAGAACTTTAAAATTCTCAGCATCCAGAATTCCAACAGGGATCAATGCTGATGTCGGCGCCGCCTCAGTTCTGGATTACCACGTCAAGAAAAAAGGCAGCTTGCACTCAGGTTAAATCCAACCAGCAGCCAGGGGAAAAAAAGCATCGTGGGGGAAGAAACGAGACGGAATGGAAATTCAAGCACCACGTGGCTTTCTTGAGGAAATGGATTTGTTCTTTGTGATGGAGAAAGGCACAGTTGTTAATATTCTCTTTATTTGCCGACAGACGTGCCTTGCAGCGCCGTGTCTGCTACCAAGCTGTGACAGGCTGGCTGTTGTAAAGCGAGGTACTTTGCATAATTAGTGTGAAGACGTGAACAGATGAGCACTAATTCTTAGAAGTTAATGATTGTCAATTATCTCCCCCCCCCTTTTTTTTTTTTTTTCCTGGATCTAGTCCAAGATTAGCTGAATATCAAGTACCTCAAGGTACGGTTCCTTAATTGGCCCAAGCGCAGTTATTGCCAGCTGTCACCCCAAAATGTGGCTTTGCCTTTTGACCTGCCTTCATCAGCAGTCAGGTCAGCTTGCTGCTGTTTGAAAGCGTTGTTTTCTTTTTAATTCTTCCTGGGCTCGAGGTTGTTTGGATCCATAAGCTGATCCGACCTGACACATGGCTTCCAGATCGTTAGTGCAGGCAGAAAGGGGGCGAGAAGGGTGAGGCTGTCCCTTGCAGCACCAGGAGATTTTATCCTGCCTTAAACCCACAGAGAAATCCCAGCTTCTGCTCAAAAGTGGTGCAAAAATTCCCACTTCACCTATTTCAACTTTTTACCTGCTCCAGAATTTGATTTATAGGTGCATAAATAGCTTCCAGCTCTTGTCTTGCCCAAATCTTGTTGGAATCCAGGATTTTGGAGCTTCCTTAGGACCGTGTTTCCAAACACACCTGTACTTTTTGTTATTTTCAGCTGTAGGTTTAACTGTGGTTATGTAGATGGTGGATCCAGAGCCACAACTTCCAGGGAAGCATCCCACAGGTTTGTGTGGAGGTTCTTGTTTCCGTTTGAATTTGTGCTGCTGGAGCAAAATGAAAAGGAGTGCTTGTTTTGGAGATGGGAAAAGTCATGGATTTTTGTTCCCAGACAGTCTTTTTGTTTTTGGGAGATGACTGTTTAATGTGAAATCCAAGAAAATGCCTTTATTTTCCCCTCTCTGACTTTATACACAGTTTAGCCTGTATTGTTTAAAAGCATGTTGTAAGAATTCTAATTATTCTCTTCCCTATTTCTGAATGGCATCTTTCTTCAGGCACACAAGTCTTCTGTGTTTAGTGTCAGCCTTTGAATGTAATGATTTATCCACACTTGAAATGACATTAAAAATTTTTCTGTGAAGGAGCTTTTTCACAGAATTCTCTCATTCTGTCACTTCTTAAATAAGGCTAAGAAAAATATTCTGCTAAATGTCTGTTTAATATTAAGAATGAAATAAATATCTTTATTGGACATAACACCTTAATGTGAAAGAATGAATGTATAATTTGCTCTGTGCTTTCATGTTTTATGTCAGCACTGACATCCAGATTTACCTGGCAGAAATGTTTCAGCAGCTTAATCTGAGATCTTTAGATATTTTTAAGGGCTACACCAAAGTTACAATTGATTTGAAAAATAATGAAAGTAATTCGAGGAGAGTAAAATTGCTAACCTAAAACCTTAAAAAAGGAAGGAAACACCCAACCTGCGAGGATTCTCCTCCCCCAATTCTTCTTCCTTTTTTCTACCCAGCACTTGAACTGATCAGAAAATACTTCCCCAGAGCTCAAGAAGACAAAACCCCCATTTATTTTGCTTTTCTCTGCTGTGGTTTTCTTGCACAGGCTCGTAACACTACTTCTTTGAAATAATAAATGTGTTTTATTGGGTCACTCTTTTGTGGAAGCCTTTGAAATTAAAATTTAAATATCTTAGGAATAGGTAACCTTGTTTCATAGGTAATGTTTTTTAATGAAATGGAAAAAGTCTTTCCCTGTGAGTTTCCATAATTGTTCTTTGTGAGTTCTAACCATTTTTCTGTAAGTGATCAGTACAGATAGGGGAAAAATGGTGAGAAAATCAAGATGTGTGGTATTGCTGCTCTGTTTTTAATGCATAAGAAGTTCTAAAAATGTTACAGTTCCTTAAAAACCTGTTTTTGGCTGGAGAATTAAATTTGCCTTCACAGTTGACCCTGAGTAGCAGAGGAATTATTGCATCTTGTTTTTGAGGAGCTGAAGGAAAATCTCCTTCTTGTGCCCTCAGCATTTTTCCTGTTGACTGTTTCTTTCCTCACTTTGAGCAGGAACAGGAACGTGCATCCTCTGATATGGAAAATGTTTGATTAAAAGTCACTCTGGGAGCTGCTTGCTGTGTCAGTGCAGAAATCCTTGGACATAATTTTTCTCTCAGTCCTTCCAATTTGTCCTTCAGATCCTCTCAGAAATCATGGAAGCAATTCCTTTGCTTTGAAGCATTTTGAGAAGGATTTCACTTACGGACAGCTTTGTACAAAAAGCTGCTTTCATGTTTTTGGTTTTTTCAGAGAGGCTCCAGCAATCCTGCAGCTGCTCCTCAAATAACTGTGAGCTTGTGCAACTTGTGTTGCTGTTTCCATACCAACAAATGAAATAAGTCCAATTTGTGCCCACAGTGAAGAGTCTGGGGATTTTTTTGTGCTTTCTATCTCATGATATGGGAAGTGTAAAAAGAAGAGCTCAGAATAGCTTGTAGTGAATCATCTGTCAGCCAGCTGCTCTGGGCTCCTGTTTAATGATGGGATGGAAATTTTCCAGAATAAGATACAAAACCTTAATTTTATAGAACTGTGAGAGTCAGATTTAGGTGAGGTTTGAAAGAATGAATAATTAGTAGTTGCTTAAATGTGCAGCATAAAGTTCAGCATGGATTTCCTGGCATCACCAATGTGGGCAAACATCTGATTGTACCTGATGAAGTCTTTGCTGTCATCAGTGGCTTTAATTTCTGTTTCCATATCTAAGAGTGGGTCAAAATATCCATCCATCCATCCATCCATCCATCCATCCATCATCCATCCATCCATCATCCATCCATCCATCCATCATCCATCCATCATCCATCCATCATCCATCCATCCATCCATCCATTATCTGTCCATCCATCCATCCATCCATCCATCATCCATCCATCCAATATAAATTGAAATATTCCAGGTAAAAAGAACAATTGAGGGATTCAGAACTGAAACATTTGACCTAAAAAGGGATAAAATTATTGCTGGGGGCTGCAGTGACTTTATGCTTCGCATGGAAGTATCTCCAAATGAAGTGTTGTCTGTCCTTCATCTCTGATGTTTGAATTTCACTTAGATTTGCCATAATGGAAACCTTTCATGTTCATTCTTTCTTTCAGAGAAAGTAGAGCATAATAATTGTAGTATTGCTGAAAAAACCTATTTGCTTTTTTACTTGGCTAAAGTAATGCTGAAAATAGAAATATTTGACCTTACTTTATTGTTTGTTTGAACTGCTCATAAATTTAGCTCTGTTTGACTGTTTCTGTGAGAGACATTTGTTTCCTGGAGCTGAACAGCTCATAGTTCTATAAACAAGCCTATAAACAAGAAATCCCATTCAGTAATATCAACAGTGAAATTTCTTGTCTTTTATCTGTATTTAAACAAACTCACAGAATGTTGCCTGGAAGCACAAATTGTGTTGCTCTCTGTGTGGCTGTTGTAGCTGAAAGATGCATATTGGGCAACTGAATTAAAATTTATGTAATGAACTATTCACTTTGATTATAAAAAAAAATCTGTCTGGCTGTTGCAGATGGAATTTTTGCCTGGTTTAAGGATAAATATTGGACAGCTGAATTAAAATTTATATAATAAATGATTAATTTTTATGGTAAAAATCCTCAGCAATACTTGGCATTGTTTAATTTCTCTTTGAAGTTTGAATTGATGATCCTGGAGGTCTTTTCCAACCTTAATGATTCTCCTGATGGGTGCTGGAGGTGCCAAAACTTTCCCAAACTCCTGCTGGGATATTGGTGCACCCATGGTCCCTTCTGATGTTACTCTGCTTTTTCTTCTCTGGTAGAAAAGGGAATTTCTGCTGGCCAGGTGAGAGCAAACCTGAGCAGCAATTTTTGCCAGGTTAGAGATTAACAGAGCTCATGGGTTGAAGGAATAGTTCTGAGTTACTGTCTTCTCTCAGTGCTGTGGACTTCATCTTTTAGTGGGCAAAAATCATCAGGAATGACTTGATTTAAGGTCCATATCTCAAGAAAAAAAACCCCAAATTGAAGTGTGTCCATTTACTTTCTGTAATAAAGAAAACAAAGCTGGGTCAGCTCTTCAGCCTCCCAGTTTGACATTTCACAGCAGTGACCTTGAGGACAAATTCTCTTTTTTTTTTTTTTTGCAGCTGCAGCCGCCTCCGAAATATTCAGACTATCCTGACACAGAGCAGCAAATCTCAGCCTGATGGAATCCTCTGCATTTTAGGTTAGTGTTACATTTTTTGTTCTCATTATGCTGATAAAGATACCATGAGTTTCTGAAAGAAGAAATTCATCTTGCTGCTCCAAGCCCCAGCCTGGTTTCTCAGCTGATGTTACATTCTCTTCTCCCTAAACAATTCCTCATCCTATTTACTAATTTTGGGCTAAGAATTTTAAAGAGTGGCCCCAGAAACCCAGGAAGCAGTTAAGAGTTAAATGTTTGCACATAAAATTCATGTGGTTTCAGTGCTTTATTTTATTTCTGCTGGGATTGGGAGAAAAGGGCAGCAGGAAATAAAGGTGCACGTGCAAGTGTGGGAAAATAACAGGAGTTTTGTATTGCTTTAATACCATTTCACTGACTCTTGTTTCACATTATATAATCAGTGTCAAGATCTTAAAGGAAAAATGCAGACATTATGATTGGAAACTTGAATTACTGAGGAGTAATTGTTTAAATAATGTATTGCAGTTAAATAGCAGAAATCTGATGTAGCCCTAAAGAAGCTCTGTGTAGGAAGTGACACCACAGTCTGATTTTTTTGGGTTTTATTCTGTCTTTAATGATGTAGCAAGAGAACTTAAAGCTCATTTACTGGACCACAGAATAAAATTTATAAATAAATAAATGAATATAAAAATAAAAGTATATATATAGTATTATACAAAATATATATGAATTTATAAATAGATATATAATATCTATAATATATACATATCTAATATATATTATAATATATAATAGATAATTTATAGTAGATAATAATTTATAAAATTTATAAACAGATAATCATTTATAATAGATAACATTCTCTTCTAGTCAGTGTTAACTGTACAACATGACCCTTCCTACCCTGCATTTTCTAGGGTAAGAGGTTAAGTCTCTAAGTAGTAACTGTGCAGCCAGAAGCTCTGTGAGGTCACTGTGTCAGCCTTCCAGTGAAACTTAATCATACAGGATAAACTCCTTGGGTGTTGCCTTTGCTGCTAATTTAATTCCATAAAACGTGGAGTTAATATACATAAATAAAAAAAACTCCCCATAATTTAATTCCATAAAACATTAACTGATGACACTGCAGTATTTCTTAATTATTATTGACTCTGAGACTGCAGAAAGTCCCAGGTAAGGAGCAGTGACTGAAAACATGGCCCAGCTTTAATGAAAGCAAAGGAATTGTTCTGTGTAATCCTCAGTGTTGTGTGCAGGATTTAATTCTCTTCAGAAGAACATACCTCTTTATAAATGAGCACTAGTATGGAAACATGGGAGGTGTGTTTTTTTGGGAGATCTGTGCTTCGCCCTGATCTCTCAGCACCCACAATGGGACTCTTGTCTGGCTTGGCTCCTGTAGCCTGCAGAATTTCTGGCATGACTTCCATGAAACAGGCATGTCACTGTTAGAAATGCATTAAATCTGTCATCAAACACCAGCTTCTGATGACAAAACCCATGTAGTTTTACATGCTGAGTCCTCTTGGCTTGTGTGGAAAGTGGATACTCACAACTGTGGTTTTTCACAGGCAGTGCATGTTCTGTTTCACTTGGCTGCTTTTAATGGCCTGCAGTTAAAGCAGCTCCCTCACCTCCACTTCAGTTTCATACTGGGCTGGGAGATAAAACCAGAATAAACTTCCCCAGCTTTACTTCAAGTTCATTAATATTTGTACTGAAATCAGACCCAGCTCTGGGAGATCCCAGAGAGAGGTGAGAACTGAGCCACTGTTGATGCAAATACTTCAATGGAGTTACAGCTGATTTTTAAAAAAGAATCCTCTAATCTGATTTTGAAGGGGTTGCAGGCTAACATTCCTGCATTCTTTGCTGGGAAGAAAAGGCCTCACAGCTGACAGGAAAAAGGAATTTGGAGGTGGGCATGTCAAATGGCTTTAAGAAGCTGTGATGTGTTGCTGTTCAAACTGACCTGCTTAAACTATATTTGAAGTTATTTTCTATGATAATGGTGTTTCTTGGCATCTTAACTTTCAGCAGAGATTTTCAGCTCCTGGTTCAGCAGCTGTGATTTCTGAGGACGTGCATTAGCTGTGAGCAGGGGGTGTCTGTGACTACTGCAATTGTAGCTTGTGTTTATATATAATTGTATTTATATATATAATTGTAGCTGCTCTGATTGTGGATTAAGCTGTTTCACCATTCAGCACGGCTGAGCTGAATTTTTGCAAATATTGATATTTATTTTCTATTCTCCTCAAAGACTATGGGGATACTTTTAAGGCTGTTGCAGTAAATATTTATTTTACTTTGGTTCTGCTCACATACTGCTTTTTTAGATTATAAATAATCTAGATTATTTATTTAGTTTATATATTTAGACAATCTAGTTATATATTATATAAATATATATTATATCTAAAATTAAAATATATAACATATAACATAAAAATTATACATAATATATAATATAAAATATTATTATATAATTATTTATATAATCTAAATATATAACATGTAATTATAATATTATATATAATAGATAATATTATTATATTATAATGACATATAATCTAAATATAAAGATATAACATATAAAATTATGTATGATATAAATGATTTTATTATATAATTAGATATATAATCTAAATATACAGTATATAATACATATAATTATGGTATATAATATATATAATATTGTATACTTATATATAATATATAATACATAATATAAAATGATAATATAATATATATAATATACATAATCTATATATACTATATAAAATATATAATCTAAATAAATCATCTAGATTATTTATAACCTACAAAATCAGTATGTGAACAGAAAGTTAATGTTCACATCACCTTTTTTAGATTATTTTTTCTCCATTGTATCCACCCCACACAGAGCTCTCCCTGCTGGGGTATCTCCCACATTCTGAGAATCCTATTGCTCTGCTTGTTCATCCCATTCCCTTTCCAAACAGAGACTATTTTTAGAATTATTCTGCAGCATTTCCAGAATTCTGTTGCTTTTGGGCCAATATCTGAAGGTGATGTGTCCATTCCCTCCATCCTCACCCTCCTGCTGTCCCCAGCTGCATTTTGCATCCCTGCCAGTGCCCTTGGGTGTCTCCCACCCACTTGGTCTTAGCCAGCAGACAGATTTCCCCCCTGCATTTGGCCAGAATGCTTTTGTGAAAAATGCATATTAGAGGATTGGCTCTTTGCAAATATTAAAATGGGTTATGTTGGAAAGTTATGTTGTATTAATATCTTTTAAGCAGTGTGAAAAATACAGTTTTTAGGCTGTAGCATAATATTAAAATGTGATGCAAGATACTTTTTTTTGTAATTGACTCAAGAAATGGAAAAAATAACCAAGGAATTCTTCTCATTATCCTCTCTGGATGGAGATACAACAGGATTCCAAGAAAAGAATTATTGCCTCCTTATTGGGAAGGCCCAGACTGGAGGAACCAAGGCGATTGATTTACAAGGTGGAGGGGGGAAGTTGCTTCCCTCCATCTTGTAAATCAAGATAAACAGAATAATCCTTAGTTTGAAAGGAATGTTTGCATCATGTATGAGATACATGAATATGCAACAGGCTGGTTTTTTTTAAGGGTTAATCCTTTGTTAGAGAGCTCTGCTTTTTGGGGCTTAGTGCCCAGGAGGCATCCAGAGCTCCATAATTCTTTGCTTTTATTGTCCTGATTGTCCAAATTCTTATTGCTTTAATTTTTTTATTACTATTTTCATAACTATTTTATTACTATTAAACTTTAACAATTTTAAAACGAGTGATTGGCGTTTTTCACACTTTGTGCCAATGAACAAACTGCTGAGGGGCAGCTGAGCCCTGCCTGGGGAGCAGAGCAAGAACTCGAGGCTCAGCCTGACTCAGGGTGTGCCCACACCCCTGCCAAGGGCTGGCAACAGGAGGGGGAGTTCCAAACTCCCAGCTCAGCTGGAGACAGGCGTCGGGGTTTCCTAATTAATGGCCTTGCCCATTGTTCTGGGGAGGACTCCTGATATGCTCTCGTGGGTATCTTATCTTGGTCATTGTTTCATTTCCTGTTTGTTTTCTGCTAGCTCTATCTGTTCCTTTAACTCCATATGTTGCTGTAGGATAGCACTAAAGGCTCAGTGTGACAGCTCCTGTCTGCATAGGATACTTGAAAGACCCAAGTAAAGCACAAATTCCAAATATTCTGCAGAATTCATGGTTTTATGTTAAACAATTGCCTTCCCTGCGTGGCTGTCAGTGCTCTGCAAGCAGTAAATTCACCCATGTCATCTATTGTGAGAGTTAAATTTGTCAGCTGTCCCCCTTTCAGATCTTTTGTTTTCTCTTCCCCTCCTTCTGTCAGTAACTGAAAAAGCAGGGGTTTGGAGTTTGGCTTGGAAGCTCTTCCCTGCTGTAAGCTGCTGTACCCAGATAAAATCTCAAACTCTTCAAGTGATGGTGACATCAACTTTTTTTTTTTTTTTTTTAAGTGAAGGCAGTTTCTCATTTTTCTTCTGATCTTCCAGAAATTAGAATCACAGGATCATAGAATGGCTTAGATTGGAGGGATTTTAAAGATTGCACAGTTCCAACTCAGTGCCATGGGCAGGGACACCTTCCACTATCCCAGGTTGCTCCAAGCCCTGACTGACCTGGCCTTGGACACTTTCAGGGATCCAGGGCCAGCCACAGCTTCTCTGTGCCAGGGCCTCCCCACCCTCACAGGGAACAATTCCTTCCCAATATCCCATCCATCCCTGCCCTCTGGTACTGGGAAGCCATTCCCCTTGTCCTGTCACTCCATGCCCTTGTCCCCAGTCCCTGTCCAACTCTCCTGGAGCCCCTTTAGCACTGGAAGGGGCTCTGAGGTCTTTCTGGAGCCTTCTCTTTTCCAGGCTGGACATTCCCAGCTCTTTCAGCCTGTCTGTGCCAGATTATTGCTCCTCTGAGTCTTCAGAAGGTGCCTCAGCTAGGCAGGTAATCAGTGGAACAGATTATCCTCGGGAGATTGTGTGTGCTCACTTCCCAGGGCTGCAGCTGATTCCAAGGAGACTGATTACATTGAAAGGGAGTTCCCTAAAACAATGGGACAGTTTCTTCCTGAAAGAAGGGAGTCTCCACTTGTTTGTAACTAAAATCCCACCTAGACACAAGGGCTTTGGCAGCTATATTTGTGTGCTGAGTCCCACTGAATTCCAGATTACATTGCTGTGCCTGAAAATGTAAATAAAACAGAGGGACACTTATGAATGAGAGGTCAGAAACAGCAGGAGAGTGAGGATTCCAAGATTATGGCTGGTAAAAAAACTTTGAGGGCTGAGAAAGCTGGGACAGATGTGAGGCAGCTTTCCACCAAATATCAGATACCTTGGAATAAATGTGAGCTACCAAAGTCACTGAGCAAACAAAGACTTTATTAAGATGTGGGATGCAGTAGTTGGATGCAGACACATCATCTGGTTAGCACTCTAAAGCTGAAGCATAACAAGAAAAATGAAAAAGGAGCATAAACAGGAGAACCTGAGGTTTGTTCCAATTTTTGCCAAGTCCAGGTGACTCTTGATTGATTGGTTTCCAGTTCAAGTGCTGAGACTCAGATGTTCAGGCCAGGTTATTACATTATCAATGTCCTGATCTCTCTTTTAGCAGTGGTAACAAATCCTATTTTGTTGGCAGCCGTTCCACTGTATCCTAATGTAACAAATCCAAATTTGTTGGCAAGCATTCCACTGAATCCTAATAAAGCTTGGTAGGAAAACTTGCCATTAGAGGAATTTTTTCACAGCCAATGCTGGTGACCTCTGTGAAATGTGGATGGCAAGGATGCTGCTTTATGTGCAGTTGTACTTGTTTGAAAAAACTGGGTTTATTACAGTAGAATTATGGCTGTGACTGTCATCCAGAGATGAAGATTGATGAAAATAGTTTCTAAATCTATGACCTCATTGCTTTCTTCTTGAATTTATCTTCTGTCTCTTCATGTTCCAGATCTTCAGTTGTTTTCGTTTAATTTTCCCAAGGACCAGGAAAGGTTTCCTTGGAAGATCTTTGTGGCCCATATTTTTTGCCAGAACATCTTTTCACAATTTGTCAGAAGTCTGCAGTGGCTCTCTGGTGACTCAGGGATTGCTCTGTAGCACGGATAAGATAATGTTTAATCATGTATTCCAAAGCAGGAGATTTGGGTCACGGGATTAGTTTGTTAGGAAGCTTCAATCAAACACATATTAATTAGAATGCATCCTGCATCCAGACAGATGTTTGAATGACGAGAAAAAACGGAATTTTGGATGCACAGCACAGCAGAAAACAATACTTTTACAATTTTTAAGGAATACTCGTGGATTTAGGTTGAAAGGGGGATGTCAGCATGTGGCAGTGATCTTGCAAAATCTCCTTTTTCCCTACCCTGTTCTCTCAGTGTGTTCAGTTGAGGAGTTGAGTTCATGCTCCTGCTTTAAAGTTTAATAAATTGAGGGAGAAAATAAACTTTTCAGGTATGCAGGGTTAGGACACACACCAATTCTCCTGTGGTTTTGCTTTGCAGGGATAGACAGTCGATACAATGAAGGGTGCAGAGAGCTGGCAAATTATCTGCTCTTTGGTTTGTACAACCAGAACAACAATGACTTTGAAAGGACAGGTTTTCCTGAGGAAGTTCTGGATGGTGAGTAATGTTCTCAACATTTTTTACCTGTTCTGGATAGAAGATGAGCAGAAAAAGGGACATACAAAAAAAAAATAAAGGTCATTAAGTCTCAGGTTGTCTGTATATGCCTGAAAATATCTTCTTAGAAACACTGCTGAAGGACTCATTTTTAAACATAAAATGATATATTAAATGTGTTTTATGCTCCACAATTTATCTCAAATGTTGTAAAGTTACACAATTACAGCCCATTAGTTCAGTCAAGGTGTATATACATGTTATTAATATTGTGTGATCACACCTCTGCACTTCTAAAACACTTGAGCTCCTTTTTACCTCACCTCATTAACTCACCTTTGTCATACTTGGAATGTGGCCAATCCCTGTGATCACAGCTTATTATTCCCTTATTTGCACGAAACTTTTGGCTATCTCCCCTGCAGCCTGTGGTGTTGATAGTTTTTACTTGAAGCAACTCTGATGTAACATCAGGCAAGAGCAGCTGGAGTTTAGAGTTCTGGAAGTGCTCTGGGAAGGCTCATCCTGACCCTCTTGGCTGCACAAAGGACAGGCTGATGCAAGTTCTGTGCAAGACTTGGGAATTACCCCCCAGTTGTCTGGAACAGTATCAAGTGCTCTTGTGCTTGGAACTGTCTGTGGCTGCCAACTGCTCCTGCTGCTTGTTTAAAAGAAACCAGGAATTGCACTGCGTTCAGATAGCTGAACAATTTTCTTTTTTAATGAGGTGCAGAATAGAAAAAAATGTTTTCTGTTCAGTTTCTCTTGTGTGTGGAGTCCTGATGCTGGAATATTTGTTGTGATTGTTGCAGATATAATCATATTAATAAAACCTGACAGTGTTCATCTGTACTGCAACCCTGTGAATTACAGTCATCTTTTACCCTATGTGGCACACTGGAGGAACTTGCATTTCCACTGTCTGACTGAAAATGAGGTAAGTGAAAAAGGAATGCAGGCAAGATTTGCTAATGAACTTGTTAATGAACTGATCCTTAAAGTAAAGCTTTAAAAAACATTCTTTCCAGAAGCCTTTTTCCTCTTTTCCCCTCAGCAGGGGAATGATATGTGTGTACATTTGGGTATTAATAATTTGCTAAAATGTGCAAGGAGAATATTTTGTCAATACTTTTATTTGTTGGAGTGTGAGGACAAATTGCTCCTCTCTCCCACTAATTGCTGTTGTTTTGACCTGAGTCAGTGATCTTTTAATGAGGAAAAAAATGTGGGTTGTGAAAAATGCCAAATGTGAATCAAGTATCACAGGCAATGCTGAGATTTCCCACATCAGCCTTGTTTGCTGTCCATGTTTGCATTGGCTGCCAATAGTTTTAGAATATTAGGAAAGATGGGTTTAGTAAGTCCTTTAAAATCAAGAAACTTCATTATGTATTTTCATTTTAACTATCAAATCTGTCTGTTAAGAACTATTAACCTCACTTCCACTACATCTCCTGACTGATGTGAGTTTCATCTTGAACTTGCAAGTTAAAGTATTATAGAGAAAGTCCATTTATTGTTGTGAACATTAACCTCACTTCCACTACATCTCCTGACTGATGTGAGTTTCATCTTGAACTTGCAAGTATTATAAAGTCCATTTATGTTGTGAGGTATTTTTAGAGGAGTAAACAATGAAAATACTCTTTGTCTGGGTATAGAATAAGGACCTTTTCATTCCAGTGCAGACTGGAAATGCTTCTTCCTACATTGAGTTCTGTGTAGTTCCTTTTCTAAGTTAGAATTGCACTGAATTCTGCTGGGAGTGGGTTTGGAGCCTGTGATGGTGAGTGAAGCCAGTGGAAAAATGAGTGGGAAAGTCAGGGAGAGAAATCTTTTGTTCCCTTGAGTTTCCAGCTTGGGAGTGATGGGGCTTATAATAGACTGATTGTGTTTTTATGTGTCTGGTTGATAGCTTAGATCACAGAATTAGGAAATAACTGAGATTACAGGGGACCTCTGGAGATCATCTTGTCCAGCCTCCTGCTTCAGTGGTGAGATCAGATCAGGTTACTCAAGGGTTTTCTGCAGCTGGGTGTTGAAATCATCCAAGGATGACAGAACCACTGCTGGCTGCCTGCTGCATTTTCCCACTGTCCTCCTAGTGAAAAAGTGTTTCCTTTTGTCAAACCCAAACCTGATTGTTTTAAATCAAGACTTTTGTCGTGACCACTGTGGAGAGCCTGACTTCACCACCTGAGTAATATTTTGGTGGGTTTGAGGTGCAGATATTGAGCAAGCCTGGATCTCTCCTTGCTGGATCCCACTGATTGTGGTGGCCCTCCACTGATCTTGCTCCAGTTTATAAATACCTTGTCCATGGATCCCAAAATTTGTTGTGGATACAATTCCAGGAGTGCAGCAGAGAGGGATAATTCTTGTTAGGATAGAACAGCTGAGCACCAGGTTAAAACATGCCCCAGCAAAACCTAAAGCCTGGCTTCACAAGGCTTCTTTGTTGCCAAAATCCTTGCTGAAAGGGCAAATCTGATGCTGGGAGAACACGTGCACTTTGGAATCAGGAGCAGAGAAGTTCTTACCACACAGATGCCAGTGCAGCTGCAATCTCAGCTATTGAATTTTAAGCTTCATCTGCTTATGGGCTTTGATATGATTTATCGTGGTAAAGAACCTTAATCACACAGTGTTGCCTTGAAAAAAATGATGTAACTGGCAAGGTGAACCATGTGCCTTGTTCTTTGTGGAAATGGGGGGAAAGGTTTGGTTTTGGAAGCTGAAAATACAGTTTTACTTCATTGTAAGTGAGTGAGCTGAGCACTTCCAGTCACATTCCCCATGTATAAGAATTGCCAGTTTCCTAGATTACTGCTGAAAGACAAACAAAACCTTGCTGTGTCAGGCTTTAAGTGCATCCTGTTTACAGGAGAATTGCCTGCAGTGGCTTTTAAGGACTTATTTTAGTGATAGAAATAACTTCATAAAAATGAAACAAAAAAAGCACAAGAATTTTAGAAATAAATAAAGCAATGCTGTACTGGCTCTGGCAAAACACAGAGCTTCTGCTTCCTTTTTTCCTTCCTACTTGCTTTAACTAGACCACAGGAATTTAAGAGAATATCCTAGTTTTTGGGGGAAAAAAAATCACATATCACTAAAAAAATGCCCATGTTCAAAGTGGCCAAATAGGATAAAATAGAGAAATTTGCTGTAGCAAATTTTGGGGTGCCACAGTCGAACTGGCTGCAACAGCAGATTGTGAGCAAGCCTTTAGCACCCTGCCAAAACCCAAGTTCTTATTCCAATGACATTTTTAAGTCTTGAGAAACTGGCAGTTGTTTGGGGCTTGGCTTTGAGCTGCAGCTTTGATCTGGCTTCCTGGGATTGAAGGAGGAACACACCACAGAGGAGCTGGGGCTGCAGCTTCAATTCAGGCTTGGCTTAAAAGAACTTCTTCTCAAAATAAATGTGATGGGTGTACCCTGAAGCTCACAAAAAGTTCATAATCATGTCATTTGCCTTGATAAGAAGCTCAGAGCACTGCACATAGAAATAAAATAAAATAACATAGGCAAAACACCTCTGCCTTCTGATGTTGCTCCAGAAAACAAGTGGCTCTTGAAGAAGCCTGTTGGTTCCAGGCTTGCTGCTAAACTGCTTTTCAGGTCAAAGTCAGTGTGTCTGCTGTGTTCTGTTATAAAAATGACTTTAGTGTGATTTGTCTCTTCAGTTTGGTTTTTATGCTTTTCTGAGTTAGGATGTTTGCTCTTCAGTCTGCTGAAGTCTGCAGACAGCGTTGCATGAAGGTTTCTCCTCTTCTTGCCTCCTCCTTTTCCTGCAGTTCACCTCTCCCTCAGACCAAAGCTGGTTCTCCTTGCCTAATCTGTGACGTGGGGCTTATTCTGACATTGATTTCCCTTGCTCAGTGTTGTTTAGCTGGTGATACATTATCTTATTTTATTTTTTTTTCCCTCAGTGGCACGTTTTTCGTGGTACATCAGTTGGTATCCTCACAATTACTTTTATCTTTCACATCTGGATGTTGAAAGAGTTTAACTGAAACTTTAACTGACTGAAAGCTGAAAATAAAGTCTATAATAATGCCTTCATATGTCATGATTAAAAACCTTGCTTTGAAGTCTGATTTTTTTTTCAATTTTCCATTGGCTTGAGTACATCCCTCCCATGATGGGATTTCCAAAATCCCAAAGCACCTCCCAAAAATGGGTGCTTGAGCTTCAGGAGCAGCCTGTAGGTGATATTTTAGTGCTTTACATGCTGCATCTTCTCTTTCCTACCAATCAAATTAGGGCATGCCTAATCCAATTTGATTTTAACTGGCTTCTTTCAGTATGAGGATGAAGAAGCTGCAGAGGAATTCAAGATTTCCAGCTTTGTGGACATGGTCAGGGATTGCAGCCGCATCGGGATCCCCTACAGCTGCCAAGGTAGGGTGGGTGACGCTCAGAATTGTTGGTTTTTGGGCTTTTTTTGTCTTTTTTTTTTGGTTTTTTGGGGTTTGTTTTTTGTGAAGGTTGAGATTGAAGGTACTTGAGATGGTATTTCACATTCAAAGTTAGATTCTTTAAAAATTTATTTTACAGTTTCATGAATAGTGAGTTCTGTAGTATTTTACTAACAAGGTATAAAATGGCTAACTGTCTTTCTTTACAAGGTCTTTTAAGGTTAAACTATCTAATTAAGAAATGACATTTAAATTATTTTAATTTTTAACTCAATAACTGATCTTTTGTGTCCTGCAACGTGGACTTTTTTGTCTAATTACAAAGTGTTACTTAAACTCATGAAGAAGAAGGTGAGGAAGAACAATTAAAACTTCTTATATAGCTTTATATATATTACTATATTTTAAAACTTTAAATTTTCTACTTCATGATATCACACACTCTTATTCAAATTACACACTTGTAATCTTAGTGCTATCAATCAATTTTGGAAGCCTTCTCTACAGCTTTAGGTTAAATATAATATTCTCTTGTGGGTCTGTGCTTTTCAAAACAGAAAGTTTAAAATTCTCAGCATCTAGAGTTCCAACACTGAGTTGGAAGTGTTTTTGTACCCTGCTTCTTCAGGGAATGAAGATTTCCTCGCCTTAGGAGAGAAATAAGGATTACTGAGTCATTAGTTTCCTTTTAGCATCTTTTTCTTAAGAGTTGAATTTCTTTCTGAGAACTGGAAGCCCTCAGAGTTCATTTGGGGAGCGAATGCCCCCAGCGTGAGGCAGAGAAATGATTTGCATTCAGAGCAGTGTCTTGAGCTGCTACAGAACTTCTCTGTTCCCATGGGAGCTCCAGATGAATCCTTCTTTATGGAAGGGGAGAATAAACATTTCTTTATGCAAGTTTCCTTTTTTTAGAACTGAAAAAAAAGCTGCCCTGCATGGCTTCCTGTTGGGATCTGGAGCCAGCCTTGAGCCTCAGCAGTGTAATCTTGCATTCTTTTTTTATTCCTAATTCTTTATTGCTTCGCTTAGGGAAGGCTGATATGCTCAAAAGTCATTAATGGAAGTGCCAGGAGGAAATTTGAATCTCCCTCAACTTAAAATTCTGATTAAATGGGGATGATGGAAGAAATTCCTCCCTGTGAGGGTGCTGAGCCCTGGCACAGGGTGCCCAGAGAAGCTGTGGCTGTCCCTGGATCCCTGGCAGTGCCCAAGGCCAGGTTGGACAGGGCTTGGAGCAGCCTGGGACAGTGGAAGTTGTCCCTGCCCATGGCAGGGGGGGGATGGGATGAACTTTAAGGTCCTTTCCCTCCAAACCTTTCTGGGATTCTGTGATGTTGTGTTTCAGTATTTACTTAAGGCCAAGTATTTGATGAACTGGAGTAAGCAATGCTCCTTGTTTATTATCTTGAATTTTAATTGTTAATCAGCATGTAATGAAGTTTGCAAGGAGATGTGGAATATCCTGAGAAAAAGGGACAAAAATTTAGGGCATAGAGGAGCTTCTAAAATTGCCGTCTGCATGAAAAATATTTTTCGCTTCAAGATTTTCGGTTGTACAAAAATGGAATTTTTGTACAACTGAATCTGTGAATCCCAAGGACTCAGAGAGAGCTGAAATGGCAGGATTTGTGAGGGAATGTTGCTGTGCTTGCATTTCAGGCCACCTGCAGATATTTGACATGTTCATCGTGGAGAAGTGGCCGATCGTCCAGGCCTTCGCGCTCGAGGGGATCGGGGGCGACGGCTTCTTCACCATGAAATACGAAGTGAGTGCTTCCCTTGGTCATTCCCTTCCTGAAGCAGAACTTACTCAGGAAATTAATTTGTTTGGAAAGCACTTTTGGAGATGATGTAGTCCTGACTCACTGCTCAAGCGAGCTGCTCAGTTGGCTGGAGGTTTTTGGGATCTTGTAAAACTGTGGCAGGATGGAGAGCCTGTGGCATGGCTGAGGTTCTGTTCTGGCTACACAGCACTTTTTCCTGCATAAACCATTATTTGAACAATCTCCCCAGGCCTCTGCTGTGATTTAGAACTTCCCTTTCCTCTTTCCCTTCTTTCCCTTTTCCTTTTTCCCTTTTCCTTTTTCCCTTTTCCTTTTTCCCTTTTCCTTTTTCCCTTTTCCTTTTTCCCTTTTCCTTTTTCCCTTTCCTTTTTTCTTTTTCCCCTTTTTTCCTTTTTCCCTTTCTTTTTTCACTTTTTCCCTTTCCTTTTCCCTTTCCTTTTCCCTTTCTTTTTCACTTTTTCACCCTTTCCCCTTTCCCCTTTCCCCTTTCCCCTTTCCTTTCCCCTTTCCCTTCCCCTTCCCTCTAGAGCTGCCTCTACCAATAACCAATTTTTATAGCCCCAGGTGGATTTTTTTACCCCTAATTTTTTAGACAGGTTCTAGATCTTCAAGAGCAGAGCAGGAGGAGCTGGTTAGTGACAAACACCTTGAGATGAGCTCAGAAAATAAGAAAAGACTATTCTTGGGTCACTGGTTTTCACTGAAGAGTTGCATCCCCTTCTCTCCCTGACATTGTATATTCATGGGTCATCATACCCTGCTCACTAGGGCAACAGTCAGGATTTAATTGCTGCTGTATTTAATAATGATTTGCTGTTCCACTCTGAGCAGCTTGTGTCACTGATTTGCCCATTTATTAATTATGCTCTGAGCAGCATTTTCAGATGACAGCTTTGCATTTCTGTGCTTATTTAAAGCTTCTTTGCTTTCATTTTTTGAATCTCTGCCACAGAATGCAGATGTTCCATTTTTCTTATCACTCCTCCATTTTTACAGCCACAATGGGCTTTTGTCTGACTCCTGATAGCTGGAAAACCTCCAGAGAATTAATAGTGCCATTTTAAAAGTCTCATCATATCTATAATTGTACATGCTTGCTCAGAAATATTCTCTGTGAGTTCCTGTGCCTTTCTGAGCACTGTTCTCTTTCCACTGGGTGGAAAATTTTAAGCTTTCTTCAGGGTTTTTTTCATTCCATCACTGCCCAAAGCATTAAACACAGAGTGCAAACAGATCTTTGGGGAGGGCAGTCAATCACCCTTCCTGATGCCTGAAATGAATCAATGAAAATTTCACTGGCAATTCAGGAATTGTTTGAGTCTTTAGCTGCCCTTTCATTACCCCAGTTCATTTCACAAATCTGTAGAGGCTCTGAAAAAAATGTTCAGACAGGGTGGCACAGAGAGAACCTCTCCTGTGTGATCCAGGGAGCTGATACTGTCCCCAAGCACTCCTGGAATGCTTCAAAAGGAGCAGGGAAAATTCTTGGACTCCTTTTTTGAGAGCAATCATGTTGGCTCTGGCAGTCCAGCCAGCTCCAGCTGGAGTTCTTGTTTGCTTCCTTCTTGAAATCATGAGGGGATTTCAAATTAGAAGTGGCATTCTTAACTTTGTACGTGTTTGTGTGGTTCTGTGTCACTGAGGGGGGAGGAAACCAGGCTGGAAGTGCATTTGGGATCACTGTAAATCTTCTATAAATTAGTTCTTCTGCCATTGTTAAAAGGGGAGGTTTTTGGTGCATTTTTAGCTCAGACTTTCCCTCTGAGATTTTCCCTGTGCTGTGTGTTCTCTTGGAATATAATTGAAGGATGATAATTCAGGATTTTTCCCAGTCTTTTAAAGGCAGTTGCTCTTTTACTGGAGAAATCAGAATTGTTCATGATGCTGTAATTTAGAAAATTTCCTGTGATCATAGGAATGGAAGTGAGGCCTGGGAAATCATTCTTGCATGAGTACCTGGAATAACTGTAAAGCAGTGGGTTAAGAAAATTCCAGCCAGTGTTGCATTTTTAACTGAGTGTGGGTGATGGGGAGCCCTGTAAATGCAGAATCATTCAGATACCAGTGTCCCTTAAGAATATATTTTTAAGTATTGTTCTCCATATGCATCATCCTCCCACTTGGAAGAAAGTATTGCAAAGTTAAACTGTCTTAGCCAAAATTTACATCAGCTTGGAGCAAGTATTGGCTGATGCTCAGGAGGAGTAACCCTGGAATTGGCTCTTGGCTGTCTTAGAAAACTCATCTTGCCCTTTTGCCTGCACCAGCTCATGCAGTTCTTTGCTATTAAATTGAAAAATATTGTGAAATGATTTGTTTGGAGGATGCAGAGAAAGCTTTGCCCAGAGTTCAGACCCTCACTGGTCAGGTCTTTTGTAACAGAGTGAAAATATTTGTCAAATGAGAGTGGAAATATTTGTGAAATCAGAGTTAAGGAGCACTGTTAGACAGGGTAATGTTCCCCAATTCTGTCTCATCTTAAACCTGGATCTGTGGCCTTCCTTGTGGTGTTTTTCACAGAAATGTGTTGAAAATCTCTTTCAGTTAATGGATGTCAGTGCTGATTTATGGAAGACCTACAGCAAAATGGATCCTGTGTCCTTGGAGGATTTGCTTTTTGAGGTAATGCAGGTGAAATGTTCTGCCTCAGCTCCTGCTTGGTGTAACCACAGAAAAAAAGTTTGGTTTGGTTTGGTTTTAATTGAGTTTATGGTCTTAATTTACAGGCTCTGCCTGCTGTTGCTTGCAGGGTCTCCTCCCATTCCTTAAATCTACTACAAACTCTGCAAAACAGTAAAATAACTTGTCTTGCTTTCCTTGAATTTATTGCTTTGTCTGTAAATCTCCTAAAAACTTTCCTTCATGTCATTAAACCATGTACAAAATACATGAAGTTGCTGTGGTTTTGTGTGTTAATCCTCCTTTTGCAGAAAAGAGGGTTAAAAAAATCCCCTTTAACACACAACCATTCTTCCAGGAGTAAAAAAAAAACATTTTTCAGATTTTTGTAGCTCCTTTAAGTGGGGAACAGTGACACTCAGTGGCTGCCTTGGTGCTTTGGGAAATACAAAAGAGGGAAGGGATTCTCACATTAATGCCATGCCCTGATCTCAGTGCTAGAGGAGAAAGCATTGTATAAATATTAGCATTTGTAATTATAATTTACAATTTATTAGTATTTATACTTTAATAGTAAATGTGTTTTATAATTCTTGGTATATATTAATTTATAATCTGTTTCTAGCTTGATAGCAATTTAATATGTATAAAATTCAGCAAAATTCAGCAGTAATTATCCTTTATTAATAAAATATTGGTAGTTCATACCATTTGGTTATTCAGTCAACTGCTGTAAGGAAAATGAAAATATCATAGAGTTTTTACAAGGCTCTCAGTCTAAGTAATCACTCTCTGATATTTCACTTCTCCTTTCTGTGTGGAAGTGAGATTAATGTTTGGGATTTGCCCTACACTCTGAGCAAACCTATTTATTATAATTTGAAGTTTTAAACCTGAAAGTTGTTGTTAAGTTGAATTAAATTTTCTGAAAACAATAAACTTAAACCACACACCCACAAAAAGACACCCTGAAATCCAGCAGAATGTCCTTATCTTCTAAAATATATTTATTTTCCTATGCTTATTGTTTCATTGGGCAGTCTGTATTCCAGTGAAATGTCACTTTGCCTTCATTTCTCTTGTCTTGGGAAGTAATGTCAAATATTTTCCTTCTAGGATTTAATGATTTTTGAACACCAATGGACCAACTTTTTTGCTAATTTTGACACTGAAATTCCCTTCATTCTGGAACTCTCAGAATCTCAGGCTGGGGAGGTAGGCCTGCTTCAGCAATCCTCAAGTATCAATGCAGAAGAAATAATTATTCAGCATTAATTTGGTTTTTTTTTTCCCCTATCCCATCTCACTTTTCATGTTTGAGGGGTAAAAACACATAGTTTGGATTTTTTTTAAAGTCACCACCCACCTTAAAAATCCGTGGTATGATGGCTTAGGACTGCAGGGGTAATTCAGTCAAGTGTTTGCTCACTGATAATTCAATTTATATCTGCACAGGAGATATTTGTAGGTAGATTAACTTGCATTTGGATGGAATCTGCTATGTGCAGGGCTTAACAAGTTGAATTTGCACATCTCAAACCTCAAACAAAACTGAGGGGTAACACAGAGCATGGGAGAAAACAGCCCAGCATTTCTGGGGGTGGCTGTTGCTTTTTTGATTCATTTTGTTGCTTTTTTGATGCATTTTGTTGCTTTTTTGATTAATTTTGTTGCTTTTTTGATGCATTCTGTTGCTTTTTAAAAGCATTTTGTTGCTTTCTCTGGGATGGTGGAAGGGGTTTGAAACTAAATGGGCTTTAAGGTCCCTCCCAACCTAAATCATTCAATGATTTAATGATATGAGAGACTTAGTGATGTTTGGGTTTGTTTGTGGAGGTTGGAAGTATTTTCTGAGGGTTGAGGAGTTTTCTCTGAGAAGGATAATTGAGGTTTAATTAATGAGAGGATATTTCACACTTCTATCCATGTACTTCTTAATAATTTTTGTTTTCAACTCTTCACAGCCCTTCAGAAGTTATTTCAGCCATGGTATGATCTCAAGCCATATAACAGATAACAGGTAATTATTAATCATTATTACTATTATTATTATTACTCATTACTCCATCTGGTGCAACTACTACCTCAATATTTTATTTCCATATCCCTCATGCCATAACATTAAAACCTCTTTTTGGTATCACCTCAGTAGATCAAATCTCATATTTAAAAAAGCCTGCACAAAGTTCTTTCATGTCCTGGGAGGATAAGCTGAATTTTGCCAGGGTTTAATGCTGTGGTTCTTACCTGTACCATGAAATTTTGTGCATTATGATCAGTTCCTTCCTTGTTCCATCCCTGGAAAAGGTTGGATGGGGCTTGGAACAAACTGGGCTAGTGGAAGGTGTCCCTGCCCATGGCAGGGGTTGGACTGAGATGATGTAAGGTTCCTTCCAACCCAAACCATCCTGTGATTCTGTGAGAAAGTTTTAACCAAAAGCTGTTGTTTAGCTGAGGGTTCTGTTGCAAAATCCACCTTCTGCTGCTGTGAGCTAATCAAGGTTTGTTTAGATAATTCAATCATTCTGCACATTCTCCTCTGTTTGGAGTAAACAGGTGGAGTTCAATGCCCTTTATTGCTGGCACCATCCTCTGGTGTTTGCATTGCATTAAGGAAAAGAAAATCCTTGACCTCTCCAGCTGAGTCTTGGGCCCAAAGCCAGAACTAAACCCAAAATAGTTTTGTTTGTTTTCAACACAGTCATTTCAGGGCTTTTCAAGATGGTGAATTTTAAACTAAGCAGATTTTCAAGGCAGTTTAAGATAAAAGAATCTTCTAAGAGCATTGGGAACAACCTTGAGATAAGTCCATTGTATTTGAAAGAAATCATCATCTTTTTTAAAGCAAGTAGATTTTTTCTTTTGAACTTGCTCATTTCACTGTGAAGCTTTGTGCAGCTTTAGTAATTTTTTATTATTACAATGAGAAATTCAGCAGCTGAAAGCTTTTGATTTCATTTGTTGGTTGTAAACTTCCTGCAAGTATTTTGGTGGTGATTCCCTGTCTCCTCCTCAGCCCGAGCCGCCAGCCCTTTGTCCTGTTTGGCAGCCACTCCACAAAGGAAAACTTGAACACTGGGAACTTTAATTTTCCATCTGAAGGACATCTGGTCCGAAACACTGGCCTTGGTGGAAGCACTGCCAAGCATATGGTAAGGCTTTGGAGAAGTTATCTGAGATTTTGGGGTATATTCTCTTTTTCTTTGTATATTTTCTGTGCTTGTCTTTCATGAGTTAAATGCCTAATTCTTCTTAACATAAAGCACCTTAGCAATCCATCAGGTTAAGGAACAAATGTGATTTTTCTTGCTCTTGCCAAGTGGAGCCATACTGGATTCTTAATCAGGGACTGCTGAATGAGTTAAAATAATTTATTCTCTGGAAAAAGAGAACTTCTGCTGTAAGTGAGTGGTGGAGTGGGAAATGCTGTTTGTGTCCTGACCACAAAGTGAAAACCTTCTGTGATACACTTAACTGTTACACACATATTCTATTTTAATCACATTTGTTTAGCCATTTCTTAAAAAAGAAACAAAAAGCCACTTTTTTTTTTTTTATAACACCTTTGTGAATAAACCTATATCCAAATTCCAGTGTGTACTTCAACAACTATTGACAAAACTCTGAAAAACCTTTCATAAAATTCCAGGACTGTTTTGATGAAGTTGCAAAGCTTAACTTGTTTCCATTTCCCAGTAAAAGCTGGGTAGTTAAACATGATTAACTTGTTTCCATTTCCCAGTAAAAGCTGGGTAGTTAAACGTGATTAACTTGTTTCTATTTCCCAGTAAAAGCTGGGTAGTTAAATGTGATTGACTTGTTTCCATGTCCAAGTAAAAGCTGGGTAGTTAAACATGATTAACTTGTTTCCTTTTCCCAGTAAAAGCTGGGATGTTAAGCATGATGAATTTGTTTCCTTTTCCAAGTGAAAGTTGGGATGTTAAACATGATGAACTTGTTTCCATTTCCCAGTAAAGGTGGGATGTTAATCGTGATTGACTTGTTTCCTTTTCCCAGTAAAAGCTGGGATGTTAAGCATGATGAATTTGTTTCCTTTTCCAAGTGAAAGTTGGGATGTTAAACATGATGAACTTGTTTCCATTTCCCAGTAAAGGTGGGATGTTAAGCATGATTCACCTGTTTCCATTTCCCAGTAAAAGCTGGGATGTTAAACATGTGCTGAGGTCCGTCTGCGGCGCAGGGGCCGTGCCTGGGCAGGCCACCCCAGGGATTTGGGATCCTCTGGCTGGAGGGCCTGGGTGGCTCCAGAAGGCAACTTGGCAGCGAAGGAGGAGAGAGGTAGAGTGTGGAGAGAGCTCCCTGCTGCCTCCAGGGGCTCTGGGAGTGGTGTGAGCCCTGAGCAGGTGGATGTGGCCATGCTGGAGTGAGAGCATGCGTGAGGCCATGAGTTGATGAGATCGTCAGCATTTCATGTGCAGCTGCCTCAGGGATGGATGGATGTGGGGCCTCTGGGCACAAATCACGTGTGCAGAGCCTGAGAAAAGAGTGGTTTTGCATCTTGGTGAAATCTCATCCTCCATTTGCCGCTTTTAACTCTATTTCTGTGAAAACACTTTCAATTCTGTCTTTCCTTCCCTTGTTAACAATAAGATGCCATTTGATACCTTTGAAAATGCAAGTACCGTGTTATTGTGATGTACTTGCTCCATCTGTTGTCCTCAGATTCTGATGCTGTTCTTAAAAAAGGTGGTTTATTTACAGGTACAGGTGATACTGTTTTAATAGGGTGTCATGAAAATAGTAAATAAGACCAAGTGCCAGCCTAGTTATGGGAACCTGACACACTTTCCTCTTCATGAAAAGAGCAGTTGACATAGGAAATTGAAAACACAAGTCAGAGCTCATCTCCTTTCCAAAGTCTTTCAACCATTCAGGTCAAGTCAAAAGTGAAATAGACCTTTGAAAACGTAAGTTGCTTTTTCACAATCCAGTTCTGTGTTGTAAACTTCTGTAGTCTGTCAGTGCTTAGAAGACTTAAGGGAAACGTAGTTAATTGTTAATTATTGCACCAATTTGCTTTACTGATGTCTTTTGTATCTCATTAATACTGACTGCTAGGTAGTGCAGTGTGTGTCTCCAAAGGGACCTCTGGCTTGTTCAAGGACCTATTTTTTTGGAGCCACTCACATTCCTTTCCTGGGTAAGTGCATTAAATACACCAAGGCAGTTATTGCCTCTGATTCCATGAAAATTTGTAGCAATTAAAGGCTTTCCTTCCTTTTTAAGTGGTAGATTCTGTAGCCAGTGCATGAAATCATTGCAGATTTTGTGGGTAAAATCTGTCAGATCTGAGTTTTGAATATGAAATCTGTCAGATCTCAGTGTGCAGACCCTTTTAAAGTATGAAACGAATATTGGAGTCCATGTTCTATATGGATTTATAGAAAAGTCTCCAAAATATAGTAATTCAAACTGAGACTTGTCAAGTAACTGAGGATTTTTATAAGGATGAAAAAAAATTACTTCACTTCTATCTTTTATCCTCAGTATAATGAGTTACAGTAGCTGTATTGATAAAAACAAGCCATGTAAAATTTTTAAAAACCATTTTCTTGTATAGTTTAAATGGCTGGAAGAGTCCATGGATGAAGTCAGTCCTTAGGGTTATCTTGAAATATATATATATGAATAATATATAATAATAAAGATTTAATATATTATATAAAATAGATATTATATGAATTTTATATAGATATATATATGCTGGGCTCAGAAAAGCTGAAGAGAGGATGGCTGGAGAATTGGAATTACAGCCTGTGTTTGCCCTAGTAGCATAAAATACTGGATAAATTCCATGTAAAATGTGCAGCAGAAATGTTCTCAGAGTGCATAAACCAAACCTTTTATTATTATTATTATTATTTTTATTTTATTATTTTTGTTCTAATACAGGAAATGACAATGAGATGCACAAGCAAGCTGAGCAAGTGTAAGCTGCCAATTTTTTTTATATTATTCCTTAACTCTTCTCTTTTTCTACCTCGTGGCAGTAGGTGAAACCTGCTTTTAGTGGCTGTTGGCATTTGCAGGGACATTTTTATTCAGAATAATGTGCATGGGACAGGTTTGCAAAGGCAAAATGCTTGTGGGGAGTTTCAGTGGGTATATGAGTTGTTAGGAATGGAAATATTAATAAATTTTGCTCAAATTGTAGTAAAAAAATAATATTAACACTTATTTGAATAATTTTGGAAGATACTTCATGTGAACCAAGGGGAAAAAGTCTCTCACATTGTAGCATCTTCCACAGATAGAAGAAAAAGTAATTTTTGGACCAGTTTCATTAACAATGTGGAAGATTTCTGATGCTCAGTGAAAATGCCAACAGGGAACACTCAAACTTGTGAAGAAACTCACTGTGTTCAAGTTAAATCCAACTTAATCTTTCCTAAAATTTGGGAAGCTGCAAAGCTTCTGCACATTTTAACCTTCTCAAAATCCCATTTGTTTATCCATGTTGATTCCACTTCCTGTGCATGTTGTAGAACCCTGTCCAGCTTGGAGAACACAGTAGAAAATCTTTGCTCTCTCTCTCCATAAACCAGACTTTTCCTTAGAGATTTTTGTCCTCCTTATTAGTTGGGATCATTTTAGGAGCCTGTTTTTGCTTCTGCAAAGCTTCATGACCTGGTAGCAAGATACTGACAATATTAAAGATGTGTCAGTACTGTCACACTAAATACTGCTGACTCTTGATAATTGTGAGACATAACAATGGATTTACTGCACTGAGCAGCAGATTTTCCTTTTTTTAAAGAAAACTGAACTCCAACAGGTTGCATTTATGTACTGCTAAAATATTTTTTGTTCTCCTTCAAAAATCCTTTGTACTGAATGCATTTTAATCAAGATGAGTAGAGAAGCTCTGAACAAAGCAGGGTTGATAAAAGCAGTAATGTAAAAATAATATCTTTTTGTTGGAAGCATCCCTGTATTGGTTCAAATAACCTAATTTCAATAACAGTAGTATAATTGGCTTTTTTTGACAAACTCATGATTTTCAGCTCAGTTTGCAGTTTTGTCCTGCTTCTTACAGTTGTCAATATTTTATAAAAAGTGAAATAAAAAGTATTTTCTGAACACTATTCATTCCTGGAGTGCATAAACTAACTCTGTAAATTGAATGACAAACTGGAATAAAGTTTTTTGGTTTATTTTTATTTTAAGAAAATATTTCAAAAGCAACACAAATCCTGTGCTGCTTTTTTTTTTTTTTCACTGTTAGCTTTAAAATGTTAAAATGGGAAGAAGAATAAGACAAAGGACACCTCGCTGAGGTGTTTTCTTGCAAATATATCTGTAAATTTGAGGGAAAACAGGAATGGTTACAAAGCCTGGAAGAATTACAATATAAAGGAATTACATTGCTTTACTGGGTGCAGTGAAATCATGCTAAGTGCATATGAAAGCACAGGAAATTACAATCCAGAAACCTGAAAAAATACTGAGAAAGCTGAATTTTAAAATCACTTGCTGCTGTTGAGGATGATCCAAGACAAGCTTTGCTGCATTTTGGGGTTCCTCCATGTTTGGGATCTTTGGATGCTTTTTTTCCATCCTTCAGGAATGCTTTGCATTTGCCTCAAATGCTGTATCCTTCTCTTTCCTCCCCCCTCTTCCCTCCCTCAATATTGGCAGTGGAGTGATGAGAAAATGTAAAAATTAGGGAGTAATTTTATTGGTCTGCTCATCTTTTGGTTGTGATTTAGCAGGAAAACAGAGGCTGGTGTTCCTTGGTTGGGCACACGTGGGTTTTTCCCTCAGTGGTTCTGGAGCTGTAAATGTGTCAATAGCTGAAAGTCACTCCTGGCTTCACCTGACTTTGGTTTATTTCTGTACCATTTTTTCAGTCTCCTTTTAAGAAGGGAATTGGACTAAGCTGGGATGGAGATTTCATGGAATTGTGGAATGGTTTGGGTTGGAAGAGATCTTTAAAGATCATCTCGTTCTAATATTCTGCCAGGAGAGGGAGGTACAGCAGGGACACCTTCCACTGTCCTGTGTGGCTGCAAGCCCTTGGACACTTCCAAGTGGCCTTGGACACTTCCAGGGGTCCAGGGGCAGCCAGAGCTTCTCTGGGAATTCCATCCCATGGCCTCCCCAGCCTCTCAGGGAACAATTCCCTGCCAGGATCCCATCTGTCCCTCCCCGCTGTCAATGTGAAGCCATTCCCTCTGTCACTCCAGGCCCTGCATTTAGGATGTGATTCCTAAACCCACCTGCAGCAAAAGGCAGCAGTAAAACAGATTTTTTATTCCTGATCAGCAAAAGCACCAGATATAAATATATCAAGAGTTATTTCCCCAAAATATCCTGTAATTTGAGCAATTTCCTCGCTCTAATTTAATTTTCTTAAACAGGAAGCTTAACTATAAAACTACTTCACTTATTCCAAAAAGAACCCCTTCCTTATTATTAAGGGAGTTGTGCAATGAGAGGAAAAACTGCTCCTTTAAAGAGAGGAGGAAGAAAACTCTGCCTGTCCAGTAAATGTTGTGTTTGTATTTCTCTTCAGTACGCTGTTGTCGCAAATATATTCTGCTGTTGTAGAGGCTGTGCTTGCTGGCATTGAGTGCTATGCTAAAACTTCCACTGAATCCAAGGTAAATGAAGTTGCTAAATGAAATTTAATTGTTCTCTCTCTGTAATTGTTGATTTGGATTGCTTGCAGTGTGAGATTTACGTGCAAACCAAAAAGAAAACCAAAAGAATTCCCGTGTTTGGCTCAATGGAATGACACAAGGTTCATACCCTGGCCTCCAAGCAGGCTCTGAATTCTGTTTAAAAATAAAATAAAATAAAAGAGATTTCAGAGTGTGTCTAATTTTACCGATCTCCAGTTGGTTTTCCATCTTCTCATGAATTTTCCTGACCTCATAGTAAGGCAAATGAGATCTGTGAAAGAACAAATTTTAGCCTGGTGCATCAGTGTGTTACTGTTCAGTGTCTCTTGTTGGTCTTAGGGTGCTCCTGGAGCTGCTGGGATTTGGAAGGATGGGAAAGGATGTTTTAATTTTTATTTCCTTTTTTCAGGCAAAGGAGGTGGCAGAGCAGGTGCTGCTGTCTGTGTTGGACACCCTTGGCTTAGCACAGCTGAAATCTGCTTTACGGTGTGTATTTCCAGTGTTGCTCATTTGGCTTCTTTGGGGGAAAAAATATCAGTTATAAACTGCAAAATATTAATTTTAAACTGAGCTTGCCTAACTGCCAGATTTCAAGACTTCATAATGCATTCAGCCTTTAAAAATCATTATAATGATTCCTTTTTCCAGTTTTCTTAATCACTTCTTTAGCTTTAAGTCTACTCCTGCTTATTTTTCTCCATATAAAAATCTAAACCACACATTTCACCTGTACAATTTCTATCCCACAGCTCCAAAATCGCTTTTCAAATCCAGGCTGTGAACAACCATGGCAGGTTTGTATCACTATCTTACAACTTTTTGTTATTAATTAGTGCTTTACATACACCAAGAAATAAATTTTTCTCCTCTTGGAACTCCTGCAAAAACCCTTGTGTTTGATTATTTCACACAAATTGTGCTCAAATGCTTTTGTGTATGAAGTAGTTCAGTGATTTCATATCTGTAATTCTGTGGAATCTTAAAAACATTAAAAGGAATAAAAAGCAGTTGGGCAGACTAATTTTTATTAACTGTTAATGAGTAGAAGCAGCATGAGCTCATTAAGAGTTTCCTTTTAAAAATGCTTTTAAATTAGTTGACATCACAAGCTTGTGCTTATTTAATCCCCACACTAATTGACTGAAATGACCTGCACAAATAAGTGTTTATATTAAAATAAGACAGCTTTTTTTTGGCTGCTGTGGAGTCACAGAAAGATGATGTAATTTAAAAAATTTAATTATAATTTTTGTTCTAGAATTACTCCATTAGATAACGAGGACAGCCTGAGTTTGATCAAAACGGTAAGAAATAATAATATTTATTTATTTAATTAGAAAATAGAGCTCAAGTGTTCATTTTTCTGAGATTTTTATGTGAATACAAGTGTAAGAGGAGACATGAGAGAGATTTCAGATGCTGCAACAGATTTAACAAGAAGTCAAAATTCAGAATAAAACATTAACACACATTTATGATCTCAGGCTTTAACCACAATATAGAAATAGTGATTTAGGATGTTTGAAGAATACAAATTTTGCTTTTTCAATTGAAATATTTCAAGTTCTGCTTTCTCTTCCCTCCAACTGCTGGATGGCTGCAGGCATCCATGATGGTGTTTGACATTCCAGACCTGCTCACAGGCAGAGGATGCTTGGGATCTGTTGTGTTTTCAGAGTCCTTCCTGACATCACAGATACAGGTCAAAGAAAAAGGTGAGCGCATTAAATTCTGAAATTCAACACCATTCCTGTCCTTCTGTTGGCTTTGCTGTCATGGGAGAGCCAAAGGAGTTCCAGTGGATGTTTTTGCTCTTACCCTCATGGGTTTGGAACACTAAGAGCAAAGGAAGAAGCCATGGAAAGATCAGAATAAATCGGGATTTCTTTGGAGCTCTGTAGCACAAGAGGACTGGGAGTTACTCTGCTGTGAAAGCTTCATTTAAACCCTCAGAAATCCTTAAAATAATAAGATGTTCATATTTACTAAAGCAATTTCAAGTCTTAACAGTAACACACAGGGCATTCTGAAGAGTGAGGGTGGTATAAGTTTAGTGGCCATGGTGATATTAGGTCAGAGGTTGGATTTGGTGATTTCCAACCTTAATAATTCCCTGATTGCACTGCTTTGCTTCCCGTGGCTTCCCTGCAGATGGCAGCATCCATCCAGACTCCAGGCACGTTATCCTGACTGCAGCTATCCCAAGATTTGCTTCCTGGCTGGTGAGTGAGAGCACAGAGCCTCAGTTCAGCTCATCCACAGGGCAAAACTCCATCTGGGAGTGGGCTGGGCTGAGGGAAAATCTGGAACCTGAGCATTGAAACACAATATTGTAATATTAACATGGCCTGGTTTTTTAGATTTGGACAATAAGTGAAAAATTAAGTGGAAACAAGCTGATGGTTCCATGCATAGCAGGAGTTTTAAATTAATATTATTATTATTATCATTATCATTTTTGTTTTCGTTTTCATTTTCATCTCATCAGGTTTTTCTCTTTTTAAAGATCTGGTTGTTTTTGAAGTGCACAGTGTGGCTTTTGAAAACTCTGCTTATTGTGGGGCATTTTAGATCAGCCCAAAAGAAAGCAAAGTCTGATTCAAGACTTCTGATGCACTACACTGTGTGAGAGATAGAATTCCAAAGAATGTGACAAAGCTGGGCAGTGCCCTTTGGCAATGCATGCTTGAACAGTAATAAAAAAATAAAACTGCATGTTTTCTACCTATATAATATTTTACTTTATAAAACAATTGAATGGGGAGAATGTGGTGCAAGAAATTATTGTGGTCTCATGGTAACACAGTATTAAGAGCACAAAATTGTTTTTAAAACTCTCTGGGCTCAGGGCTTTCTCTGTCTGTGGTACCTGAGGTTCTTGTTGGCCTCAAAACTTATTTAATGCTTTTTATTTAATGTTAGACTTGCTTTATTTATATAAATCACAATTCAAATGGAAGCTGTTTCTGGCTGCAGGTTGAAGACAGTGATGTGAAACTATCTGAAAAGGCACAGCAAGTATTGAAGGTAAAATTAAATATTTTTGTTAAACTAAAGAAGTTACACTTTGATGAACCAGTGTTTGAAAAACCTGAGCTACTACCACACTCTCTTTTTATTATGTGTGTTACTTCTCTTCTACAAGACTTGCCTGTTCTGCCCTGTCTTTTTCAAACTTTGACATACAAAATAATATATTGTGTGTAAAAGTTTGAGGGTTTCTTTATTTCAAAGAATCATAAAACCCAAGAGCAAAAAGAGTCCTAATAAAACTATGATTTCATGGAAGTCTCACTAAACATTACTCATGGAGCTCATGTGTCTCCAAAAGCCCCTAAAACTTGATGCAACTTTCTTTTAACTTAATTAGCATGCTAATGTCTAAAGGAAAACACTCTAAGCACTAGGAAAAAAAAAAGAGTTTGGAATCTAGAAACTTCTTAAATCACATGAGTTTCACATTTGTGGTGCAATTTGTGGTTCCCAGGAATGTTCATTATAAATAGATTTATTTTCATGTAATATACTTTTAGCTCAGTAGATGGACAAACTAAAAACAAAAAGCTCAGCCTTGTGGTTGTGACAATAACTTGTAACTTCATAGCTGCTGGCAAAACCAAAATGGGGGGAAGGCTTTTAAAAATTATCCTCTTGCCTTGCTCTCTTTCCCTGCTCCTTCTCTATCCATGCAGGATAAAACTCTTTTCAAAGTTCTTGACTGATGCTGTTTGAAAATAAAATATTTTCTCTTGGAGCAAAATCAGGAGAAAATGTTCCTGCTGGGATTGGTCCTTGATGCAGTCTGTGATGTTGCTGTTTCTTTTTTTCTGTGTAGGAGGACAAATCTTTCCTGGGCACTTTACTCACTGGGGGTGATGGAGTTTATATCTGTTCCAGCAACCCACAGGCCATGCCTGCAGAAGGTGAGATGTGGTTGGGTTTTTTTTTTGGTTTTTGGCTTGTTTTTTTCTTGTTTTTGTGGTTTTTGTTTTGTTTTTAAACATGAGAGAGAGGTTCTGGGATTCACACTCTGGTGAGCCAAACTGTGCCATCATCTTAAACTTCCAACTTCAACTTAAACACAACTCTCTAGTGTTTAATTCCATGTCTGTTTTTTTGTCCCCAAGCTCTGCCTGAGTGTCCTGGAAGGAGAATTCCTGCAGAGCTTTGGAGACCTGGCAGGTGGGAGGAGGCTTTTCCCCACAGCTCACCTTCCCAACATGCACAGCCTGTCCTTGACAGATGAGCTGCCAGATGTTTTCTGCCTTTTCTGTGTCTTACAAACATGAGGTTGGAAGGATTGGCCATTGCAGAAGTGCTGTGGGCTCCCAGCTCAGCAAGAGAAGGCAAATATTCCTCTCAAAGCCTCCTCCTGGAGCTGACATCTTCCAGGTTTCTGCCACTGTCATTTTCTTTAAGGAATTCAGAGTTTGTCAGCTCAGCTGCTCACTGTGGCACAGAAAAATGCCTGATTTTGGTCCTTCTCAGATCCATTCCAGTTACAGCTTTCTGACACAAGATCCCTGGCAGCACTCTTGGATTATTCCTCTTTTTTTGGTGCCTTTTCCTTCAAGAACTTAAACAACATGAATATCCCAGGAATAAGATTGAAAACAATTTGATAGGACTGTTAGATTTCCCTCCCTCCTTGTGCCTTGAATTAATAGATTCTTTTTAAGGCACAATACTTTTCTAGTCTATATATATATATATTTTTTTTTTTATCCAGAGAAGGTGTTACTGTCACAGTTCTGATGTGCAGCAGGAGGTGCTCAATATCTGACATTAAGTGCTTGGTGCTGACAGTCTTTAGAGGAGAACCTTCAGCTTTATTGTCTTTGCCCTGGAGTGTGGAGGATAAATAATGATGTGCAAGGCAATTAAACAGCAACCCTCACATAAGGGCAGCTGCTTTTGCTCTAATTGATCAGATTTCAAAGAGAAGAGGTTAATGCAGAGTGTGATGTTCAGCTGTTTTGCAATGCAGTGCTGTGGGCACTTGTTCACTCAGTAAATAACTAGAGAACACTGGATTTTTTTTTTTTTGGCTTTGTTAAAACTGGCTCTGTGTGCCCCCAAGGAGCAATTAACTTTTTTAATTTTCTTAATTTTTTTTTTTTTATTTTTTAATTTTTAATTTTTTTTTTTTAAATTTGTGCAGTTCAGTGTTTTACCAACTCTTGAGCTGGAGAGTTAGGTGCTATAAAGAACATTATGAAACACTGCAAGGCACATGAAATTTTTTTAGGTGCCATGTGACAGTGAAGCTGATTTTGTTCCTCAGTTTGTTGTGCTCAAATTTGGGCTCTGCTGAGGTTGCAGCCCTGTAGTCTGGCACTATGAAGTGCAAAAGGTGCATAAAATTCATGGAATAGTTTGAGCTGGAAAGGACCTTAAGGAACATTTAGACCCAACCTCTTGCCATGGGCAGGGACACTTTCCACTAGCCCAGGTTGCTCCAAAAATTTTAATTATTAAATTAAATTTTAATTTAAAAGGCAACTTTAATTTTTTTAAGTTTAATTCAAACTTAGTGTTTAAATTTTCCACTTAAACATTTTTGCACTTCAGTTTGTTACAATGTTTAAATTTTCAATTGTTTTGGATGCAGTCTTTACTTAAGTTCTTGTATTGTCAATTTTGTAGTTCTGGAAGTTTGAAATTTGGCAGGATGGAATTTGTTTGCTTTTAATTTAAAAAAAATACCTCAGAATATTTATGATAAGTGGTTCTGTGGGGTCAGATGAACTCAGATGCAATCACAGTCATGATTCCTGCCCTTGGTAATGAGATCCAGTAAAGACTGAATGGTTGTAAATATTATCCCAAATAAAATAAATATTTTTATTTAATAAAAGCAAAATAAATATCAAATTTACTGCTTGTTAAATACAACAGAATCCTGCAGGAACATAGATTTCTTCCTCAGGAAGACAAGACAGTCACCATGAGAAGCTGAAATGTTGCTTTATACCTCATACAGTTCTTTTTCCTTCAAATTCTAGGCAAACTGTATTTCTTTTCTGATGGAATTCTGTTCTGTGATCCCCACCACGGCAGCATTTCCATTTCCAAGAACCACATGAGTTCCATTTCTCTCTATGATGGGGTGAGTATTTTGTAATTTCTCCTGTCATAAAGTTTCCATCAATTTTTAGCAATGATTCTGTTGGGTCCTGGTACAAAGTTTAGATTTAAGCTTTAAGTGTCTGTTGAGCTGTAATAACTGATGCAAATTACTGCAGTTTTGGTGCTGATTAACTGAAATTAGTGAATAAGGAGGAGAGAATTTTCTATTGGAGTTAGCCATGTGCTGTTAACAGTGTGAAAACTGCTTTTTGTTAAAAAGAAAAATTACAGAACACAACATTCATCAAGCATCTCACAGTGTGAAGGGATGGACAGAGAAGAGTTCAGAGGGTGTTTTGGAGGGGGAAACGTTGCCTTTTATTAAAATATATTTGAATCTGTCACTTGGCCATCAGGGCAGCGTTCAGGCTCAGTGGCAATTGAGAGGTTAATGATGGCAACACAGCTCTGCCCACCTTGAGGCAGAAACACTGGGTTAACCATCACTTCTTCAGGGTGGAAAAGAGATTATTTGTGTTGGTTACTGTTTCCTAAACACTGGGGAAGAAAAAAAATCAAGTTTCCTTTAGTTTCCCTTTTGTTCAGGTACAGTATTCCCCATTTATTCAGCAGCATTGTGCTGGGTGATTTCATCCCACAATACAGGAAACCAGTAAAATACAATAAAAATGTGATTCAATTGAGATGAAAACACAGCAGCTCAGAGAGTCTTACCTTAGCTGCCTTTTCTTAGACATCATATTGATTGCCCCTCGTTTAAGAAGCTATTTTAACACTGACCTTCCTGTGATTGTTTGAGTCAAGACACTCACTTTCATAAAAGTTGCTATTTCTGGGACCTGGCCATCGTTCTTGAAATGATGCCAGGTTTTTGTGTGAAGCTAAGCCTTGACAGGGAGTGTATTATTGTTCTACTGACTTGGCAGAATATGAGGGTGGAGGGTTTTGAAACTGTTAAGAAGTGACAGGAGAAGCAGCAGAATCGTTGGTTGCTCTTTCCAAAAGTTCTTGCAGCAATATTGATGGAAAAGAAAAAGGAGAATTTAATGTTCTGATTAAAATAAAAGATACCAAACTTTGAAGTGATGCAAAATGCAGGTTTTTTAGCAGCTTTAGCATGATGCCTGTGAGGTATTCTTCTTTTTGACTTGAAAATATCTGTAATTCTGTCTCACAGCAGACTCCTGTGCTGTGAGGAACTGGGCACTGAGCTGCCCCTGAGCTCCTGAAATCCCTGGGACTCATGCATGAAGGGCAGGGGAGATTCTGGCCATCCATTAAGGGAACAAATATTACCCAGCAATATTTAGATTTCACAACGACATTAACATCTTGTAAAACTTGGAGCTGGCTCCTTTCAACCTCGTGTCCGTGGGGATTATTGCTGCTGCTGCTTTTCAGCTTTTTTCAATTTGTGGAGCCCAAAATGTTTTCCAGGAGCAGATTTTGTTGGACATTTCTCGTGCTGACAGCAGCGTGGATGAGTTGGCCTTGGAATCACTTCTCAGGAAATCTCTAAACCATCCTGCAGAATCCAGGATCTGTGGATTCTGTTTCAAAAGCCATTTTCTCTTAAAAGAAATTGTTCTCTTTGAGGAGAATATTTTTTGTATGTTCTTCAGTGACCTCAGTGACTTCGAGAAGATTATTTTTATGATTAATCCCTCAGTCAGCAAAGCAGAGAAATTCTGTTTGCAAATGTCTCTGAGCTGATACCAATTCTTATGTAACAGTTCCCCAACTTGAGCTTTTTCTTCTCAACAATGAGTACAGTGAGTTCTTTGCCCATTTCTATTGAAAGTGAAGGGGATGCCACTAAAATTCTGATTTGATCCCTCCATAATTGAATTCCCATTTCCCAGAAATGCTTCATGCTTCTAAAGTGTTCCGATTTTCTAAAACTTTGATGTGAAAAGGACTTGAATGTAAAACACTTCAGCATCATGCAGATTTGTACATAAAATCCTGTCCTGGATTCCACAGTCATGGAATGGTTTGGGTTGGAAGGGACCCTAAAAACCATCTTGTTCCACCCCCTGCCTTGGAGCTCCTTCCACTTTTCCAGGTTGCTCCAAGCCCCATCCAGCCTGGCCTTGAGCACTTCCAGGGATGGGACATCTCCCACCACTCTGAAAAAAAAAAAAAAAGCCCCAAAACAAACTAAAAAATAACCCAAGAAAAACAAGTCAGTGTTTTCTCAGAACAGAAATGGAACCTGAGTTCTGTGCTTCTGAGGGAAACACAACCTGAGGGCTTCAGCCTCCCTTGTCACCTTTTTAGGTGGCATTGAATTCATTTTTCATCTGCTGTCTGTGTTGGAGATATGGGTGTAGATAAAAAGTTTGTTGTTTGAAGCAGTAGCAGAGGAAGGGTCTAGATTTTGGTGTAGACAAGAGAAGATATTAAAATTTAAGCTTTGTTTCCAAAACAAAAGTTTAGTGCTTCACTCAGATCCTTTGTTTTGAGCTTGTGATACCTCCAGTAGCTGCAGAGTGGAAACTTAGGGGTGCTCCACCCCTGCTGCTCCATCCCTGTGCCATGCAAAGTAGAAAATACTAATTTTAACTTGTCCTGTTTCTTTCTTTTCCAGGATTCCAACAGCGTTGTTGCTGCTCTCTTTATAGATTTCAAAAGTTCCCTGCTTCCTCATCTCCCCATTGAATTCCACACCCAGAACAACTTTCTGATGATTACACTTTTCCCCAAAAGAAAGATTTATAAAGCTTTTTATTCACAGGTAAAGTGAAAAAAGTTTGCTTGGGCTGGGAGAGAAACCACATAATTGCTCTGTGTGTTTAAGATGTGTGAGAAACTCCAATTTCTGTATGAATTTCCAGTGATGGTGCTGCTCGTTGTGTTTAATGCTCCCATGTGCTTTCACTTTGCCTTCTGAAGGCAGCCAGGGCTCTAAAATCTCCTTTTCTGAGCTGCATTTCTGGTGTCTAATTTGCTGCAGGGATTGTATGGAGTGGCAGAGGTTCCATTGTGTGTTTTTGTGGTCAGACACATTTGGATCGTGATCCTTGGGGAAGTGCAGTTGAAGTTTTTCAGTCTCCCATATGGCATTGTATTATTCCCTAAGTAGATTGGCTTCATGCATTGTGCTGCAGAGGCTTTTAATAAACCCAGCTTTATAACAATAGTGCTTTTGAGGAAATGAGCCTGGAGATTTTAGGGCTTCACAAGGGTTTTAGGATGTGCTCATCACACTGGGTTGGAAAAGACCACCTAGCTCAGTGAGTAGTCCCCACTGGTCTTATTAATGGTCCCATAAAATGTCTCCTCCTTTTATCTTAAGTGTTTAAATTCCTCCCACTGTTCCACTCTGTGAATGGTTGGCAATCTGTTGTTTGTTTGTATTTGAATTTTCAGCCTATTTTATTAATTCTACTTCTATATCTGTTTTATTTTTCTTTACCAGAACACATCCTCGAGATACTCACAAATCTCAGACCTATTCTTTCTGCTTTATTTGGCCTAATAAAACAAAACCAGATTCTTTTCAATCTATGCCTATAAAATGTTCTTTTTTCTTCTGATAGTTGTAATGCTTTTCTTTTGATCTGGTTTTTGGCTGTAGATATCCAAACTGTTTGTGGTATCTGAGAGTAGGGTGTTTGTTTCTTCTGTTGATTTTTCTCAGGGCTATTTATTCCTGTCCTCCTTTGAGTTAATTTTTTTGGTGAACAGCTCCACACTGATGTTCATTTTGGGCAGTTTCTCATTTGGCACCACACCAGTTGCTTTGCTCAAGCAGATAAAACAAATCTTTTGTCTTCAGGATGTTCTCTCATGAACAAAACTTTTCATCAAATTGACTCCACCTGATTGTGTAAACCATGGACATATATTATTGTGTTTTGTCAGTATTTACCTTCAGGTGTTTATTGATTTCCTCCAAAATTCTTTCTAAAAGTCTGTGTGCCTCACAGGTTACAAAGATTCACTAAAATTCAGGTGCTGCTTCTACTCTTCTCAATTATCTGGCTTGATACCTCACTCACTGGAGCTGTACTTTGATTATTCCAAGCCTCCTGGAATTAGGGAATTGCAACTGCCCTGTTACCCAAATCTGGGTTTGTTAAAAACTGAGATGTTGAGTCCACAGAGGTGAAATCTGCTGTGCAGGATGAGGTGATGCCTTTGCCATCCTCACTCTAAAGGGTGCCAGAGGAAAATTTCTTTAGGCTTTGGGATGTGTTGATTTCTCTCATTTTTTTCTTTGATGCCATAGCAGCTCCTTTTTAAACTTTCCTTGAATTATACAAAAGAGCCTGATATATTTCTTCTGGACCTGATATATTTCTATATTTCTAACACTTGTTAGCCTGACCTATTTTTGCTTTATCCCCAACCCTTTGACTCTTACAGAACACAAATTTCCCTTGACCATTCCTTTTTTCCATCCCTCCCAGGCATTTCTTTGAGTCCCTTCTGTGTGTTTTGAAGTGGTTGTTTCTTGAGTTGTGTGGATCCTTCTGCATGAGCAATATTGCCTTTGTTAATATCAAAAGTATATTTTATTTTGATGGTTTTTATCTCCTACCCTTGTGTTTGGAATGCTGAGTTTTTAATGGAAAGCAGTCGTGTCCCCCCCAGTTGTTTTGTCTTGCAGACAGTTATTGTGAAAAATGACAATGGCTGTTGCCTTTACTTATTAAAAGAAGGGAAATTCCAAACACTGACAGGACTTTGTGATTCATCTGAATCTGATTTCTAGGTTCCCAGTGCCATTCAGATTAATGTGTCTTGGCTGGAGCAATTGGATGGGAGCCAAAACATTCCCTGGAGAAACGAAGGGTTTCCTTTTCTTTTGGGAGGGAGCAGAGTTTTTCTTCAATTTCGAGTAATGATTGCTGCAATCTCACCTCATGAAAATTACAGCAGTGCTTCAAAGAGACTTGAATTAATTCAGTTCCTGCTGTAGAGCACTTGGGCTATAAACACCAACATTTCTATCAGGGAAAACGAGGCCGTTTCAATAAATTCCTAAAGCACTTCCAGGCTGGCCAAAGAAAAGGTTGCAAAATCTGATCAGTGGATTTGAATTCTCAAGGCACATCTCATTTCAACCCTCTGCTGCGGGGAGGGAACCTTCACTCTTCCAGGTTTCTCCAAGCCCCATCCAACACTTGGACACTTCCAGGGATGGGGCAGCCACAGCTTCTCTTGCAGCAAAACCTTTATTGTGCAATATTTAATGGCTTGTGAAAATGTGTCTGTTTTTTTTGGGTGAGCAAAACCAATTCCTAAACAAATTCACAGCAAATTTGGGAAAATAATGACACTCATGCATAGATCTGGTTTATTCCAGGTTTTCTCTGCATGGCAAAACCAGACAAACTCAGGATTATCTTTAAGGGTTGTCCCAGAAGAATTCCTGTCTGAGGAACAAAAGAGGCTGTAAGTTCCTGCCACTGCAGTGCAGTTACACAGAAGCTGCAATCAGAAAAATGCTGTTATTTATTGGTTTTGATAATAATTATTTTTAAAAAATGGTGCATTCTTAGTGCAACACTCAATTTTTTTTTTGTACCATTAAATATATACCCATGTGGTTTAAAGAAGAGAAATTTTTAGGTTTCTTCTTTAACTAATTAATTAATTTCCTTCTTTTAGGCATTCCAGTGTCCAGAAGCTTTTCAATGCCTTGTCTTTTGCTTCTGGGGAAAGATGCAGGGAGCTGAAACTGTCTGCTGCCATTCCAGGATTGGAGAGGTGAGAAATTACTTTTGTGTTCAAGGGATTAATTCTGTCAGAAATGAGACAAAAATGTTTTGGTAGATGTGATAGCCATCTAAAAATGTTTCTTAAATAATTCTCTCTTTACACTAGGATGTTTTTATTCTGAGATGAATTATTTCCTCTCTAGCTTGACCTTTTCATACTCTTGTTTTAGTAATTTCCCAGCTATTTATGTGGATGAATTTTTTTTTGGTCAATTGTAAGGAAGTAAACCTTTTATTTTTGGAAGGTTTGTGCAGCACTTCACAGTCAGCAGCGTCAGCACCAAGCCAGTGATGAGGGCACATCTTCCTGTCCTTCTCCAAGAGTCAGAAACCATTTCTGACAGCAAAGCAGAAGGTGGTAAGGTAAGGAAACAGCTCTACAATAATTCCTAGCCCTCATATAGAATATTTGGGATATTCTGTCAGTAGTTCTGTTGTAGTGTGATAAAATACTAATCATGTTCAGCCATGCTCTGCCTCCTCCTCCACTACCACCAGTTTTGTCTTGTTTTCCTGGTTATATACTTAATTCTTTTCCATTTAAACAATCTTTTGGAAGTGCAAATGGCCTTTCAGCCTGATGAAGTAGAGGCAGAAAATGAGATGTAGATCTTTAAGTGAAGTGTTTTCTCTAATGTCCTGAGAGACTTTGCCCTAAAGCAGCAGCTTGTGTTTTATGAATTGCTGAATAATTTAACTGAATTGTTCTCTGGAACATAAAAGTCCTTTAAATAGCATAGAGGTAGCACATGATATTTAACATTTGCTGATATTATCTGTACAACACTCCTTTCTCTATAGGGGAAATAACAATTGTCCAGTTTAAGGTGGGCTTTAAATAGCATTTTCAAAGAAAATATTTCCTTGGAGCTTCCCAGCTTTTGAAATCTGCTGAAAACAAAGCCAAAGCAGCAGGAACGTGATCTTTCCTTGCAATATTGCTGGGGTCTGGTTCAGAGACCATTCTGACAATTAATAAACCCTTAGGAGCATTTTAAAATCTGATTTTAAGGTTGGTTTAACTGTGGATTCTTAAAAAAGAAAGAAAAATCTGTATGAATCATAGGAAACATCCTTTTTGGTGTCTGCACCAGTATCTCTGTGGTTATTTTGTGTTTAGACTACCCTGTGCCCTGTTCCTGTGTTGCAGGTGATCATCACCATCATCACTGGGCTCCCAGGGTGCCGTTCCAGCGACCTCTGCTCTTTCCTTGTCACTTTTACCAAGGAGCATGGCAGGTTGGTGCAGCTCTGCTTACACTGAGCACCAAAAAACAGCTTGGCATGAAGGCAAAAAAAAATTACCACTGTTTCATTTGGTGTTTTTTTAAACCTAATTTCAGACTGCCAGGTAGATTTGCCCTTAAATTTATACATTTAGACAGAAAAACAGCACAGGAGATTTTGTTGCCTATTCCATGTGGTGAACAGCTTCCATTTATTTATTTGTAGTGATTCTGAAATGTTTTTTTTTTTTTTTTTGCTTTTGAGAAAAGACTGTACTAGCAGTCCTTGCCACAGCATTGTTTTTAATTTAGCTTGATTTGAGGTACATTCAGGACATCTGTTGTATGGCAGTGAGATAAATCTGGTACAGGATTTTGCCACTCTGTCTTGATAGAGCTTCTGAAAAATAAAAAAAAAAATTTTATCCTTTTAATTCTTTCAGCCAAACACCTTAGCATTTAATCTTAGCCATGTTCTGCACTGTTCTTTTACTTTCAACTCAATGTCTTGATTTTATCAAGTTGATTCAGAGCAGTTTTGTTGTTCTGTTATAGGGCAGACATGTAAGGTGACTTTTGAAGGTTGTGTAATAACACAGCTCCTCATGTTTTCTTGCAAATGTCATTGTTACTTTCCTTTTTTGCAGTGAAATATTTTCATGCCCAGAGTCTTGAATTAGATTTGTCTAATTTTTGTTTACTGCATCACTGCCAGTGATCAGAATTACTCATATGATGTACAGCTTTGAAAAAAGCTGGTGAACACAGTTTTATTGAAAAGCAACAAAAAAACACCCACAACCCCCTTTGGCAGCCATGTAAAGAATGTGCATATGCTGGAAATGATAGAAAGCCAAATAAATTCCCCTTCCCTACGTCACCATGTGGAATGAGATCATGACGAGAGGTGTGAAAACTTTGGGCTTGTCAAACTTAATTTTGGTCTGTTGCTTGAAAATAGGTGTTCTGGTTTGAAAGCAAAATCAGTGAGAGACTCCAAGTCAGAAATATAATTTATTAGGAAAAGGGGAAAAAAACCCAAATACATGCAATAATACAGAAGAAAAACCACTGAGAGAGTCAGAATACAACCTGTGGGTCAGGGTGTTGGTAGCAGTTCAGCTGGAATGGTGGCACAGTCCTGGAGTGTCAGGTGTGGTTCTGTTGGAGCAGGGATCCTGTAGAAAGGTGGAGTCTTCCTCTGAAGATCCAGTGGAAAAGACAGTTGTTCCTCTGGGAACGCAGTGGAAAGTTTGTTCTGCTGTCCCAAAAATCTCAGATTGTATCCAGGTAGGAATGCTTGGCTCCTCCCCTGGGCGGAGCATCTCCCAGTGGGATGATGGAATTTGATCAGCCATGCAGGGACACTCACTGGCCATGAACAGAAGATAATTAATAATTAATGGCCCATGAACAGCAGAGATCTCCTGTAGGGAAGATTGGTTATGGAAAAAATAAAGAAAACTGCCCAATGAACAGAAGAGAACTGCCCCAGCTCTGACAGATGGCAGATAGAACACACATTGCTTGGCAATCTAGGACAATAGGAAGCAAACAGAAGTGTTCTATGAAGGGGTTTGATCATTGGCTTGTAAGTAAACTTGGGTTAATAGAAGAAATAACAATTGATGATTTTTGAGTGCATTTACAGCAAGGAAGAAAACAAGGTTGTTAGTATGGAAACAAATTAGAAAAGATACATGAGCATTTTTGTAAGCTAAGCTACATGCATAAGTAGATGTGTATACGTGCTTTATTAAATTTTTGTTAAACTTTTGCCAATTATATTGATGCTAATTCCTTTGCACCAATGAATAGAACGAGTTACGGTGACGTAGTTAATGACTTAACTTTGCTAATAAGAATATATAAGAATATATAAACTAAAAACCACACAAAATAAAAAACCTTTTTCTTGTTAAACGCTGCTCACGTGTGTATGTGTCACTCCAAGCTGACGGTGGCCTTTGCTCTCTGTGTGTGCCTCAGGTGGATTGTGTATCGGCAGACCATGGACAGCCCGCAGTGTTTCAGCGCCTCCCACTTCCAGCGCTTCCTGGCCGGGCTCCTGGAGGCCCAGCAGAACCTTGGAGTCCATCAGCCCAACCACCCTGGGAAGAGCAACAGGCTCCTGGTGGTGCTGCAAGGGTAAAGAATCCAAACTCTTGGAGCTGTTGTGTAGAATAAGGCAATTTTGGTTTATGTGCGGGCCAAACTCAGCTTTTCTGTCGCTGTTGGTTTTGTTGTTCCTGTAAAAAAGGTGTCCTTAGCCTTCTTTCCATGTGCTGGGTGCACTCACAGCCCTGAACCTCCCTGTGTGGGCAGCAGGGGAGGGGGATTCTGCCCCTGTGCCCTGCTCAGGTGAGATCTCACCTGCAGAGCTGCCCCAGCTCTTAGGTCCCAGCAGGACAAGGATTTGGAGCTGTTGGAGTCAGTCCAGAGGAGACCAAAAAAGCTGCTTTGAGGGGCTGGAGCCCCTCTGCTCTGGAACCAGGCTTGGAGAGCTGGGAATGCTCACAAGGCTCCAGGGAGAGCTCAGAGCCCCTTGCAGGACCTAAAGGGGCTCCAGGAGAGCTGGAGAGGGACTGGGGAAAAGGCACAGAGGGACAGGACACAGGGAATGGCTTCAGATTGAAAAGAGGGAGATTTGGTTGGGATACTGGGAAGGAATCCCTGGCTGTGAGGGTGGGCAGGCCCTGGCACAGCGTGCCCAGAGCAGCTGTGGCTGCTCCTGTATCCCTGAGGTGTCCAAGGCCAGGTTAGAGCAGCCTGGGGTAGTGAGGATGTCCCTGGTTGTTGCAGGAGGTTGAACTAAGATGACCTTTAAAGGTCCCTTCCAACCCAAACTGTTCTGTGATTCTGACTCCAGAACTGCCAGCAGAAATCAAACTGTCAGAAATCTCCTGTTGCCTGATAGAGCAGGTGATAACAGAGGAGGACTTACTTAGTAACATGCTTGGATAAATGCCATTTTCCTTGTGGGATAAAGGTGAAGACTGAGCCACCTGTGTTTGACATTTCCGTCTCAAATGCAGCATTTGAGAGCCAGGATCATCTTCTGAATCATTAGAAGGTGACACAAACCAGTGTGAGGGAGGCACTACCCTGACCTGGCTGCAGGGATTTCCAGCTCATCCTCCTCACTGAGGATGAACAAATAGAGCTCAGCATTTTCTTAGTTGTGGTCCATTCTGATAGTGTTAAAAACCATCATTTTTTCCATGTTGGAGCCAGATTGATTTATTTTTTTGTGTAATTAGTAGGATGGTGTTAAATCCATTGATGGGCAAAATAACTGATACTCTGGTAGCAGCACTGGCTTCAGGAACAGATAATTGAAAGTTTTCCATTCTTTATGGCTAGTTGGGTGTTGGTGTAGACAGCTTTAGAGTAGCTGAAGTTCTCTAAATATCCCATTCAGCTGATAACTGACACTAGAGAAAAGTTTGTAACTGGCTGAGAAATAAATACCTGAAATTAATACTCAGGTTCACCAAAGCCTTGATGTCATACAGAGATAAAATGCAACAGTGGTTGAAGTCCTGATAAAAAAAAGGATACATTAATGGTAGAAACATATCTAAATTGGGATGCTGATAAGTGAGAGAGGCTGTTCTTTTATTCCTTTTTTAACTCAAATGGTGCTTAATTTGCTTGGCATTAGGCATAAAATGTTTGTGTTATATTGTGCTTTTTGTGCTTTCTGCAGGCTGGACTTTCCAGCTGTTCAGTGCAAAGTTTACACTGTTTTTCTCTGGATTGTTAATAATTTATTTTTAATGTAACTTTCAGTTAGTTTGTTTGCTGGATTTGCTTAATTTGTCTGGATTTGCTTAATTTGTTTGGATTTGCCAAGCTCTGAGCTGCTTTCCATTTCTTTTAGTAGCTCTTTTGGAAGTCCAATTTTCCTCCAAGCCATCGATTTCTTCCTGAGTAGGGACTTGTTCTGTTTCTCTGAACCCATTTTCCATTTTGGTTTCTTGCAGGTACACTGATGTTATTGATGTTGTGCAAGCTCTGCAGACTCACCCTGACCCAGATGTGAAATCTTCTTTCATCATTGGAGCAGTCAACACCTGTGTGGAGCCTCTGAGCTGCTACATGGAACACAGGTGTGCTTTGAAATATTTTTACAAGTTTAAGAGCAAATACAGCAATTTTTGGTATCACTTTTGTAATAATTAGTGATTTGTGATGGTCAAAAACCACTTAAATCCCATAAAATTGCTTAATAATTCAGCTTGGAGGAACCTGGAAGTGCTGTTTGGTATATCAGGGTGGCACTTGGTTTCCACTGGATATTTAATTATATAGAATATCAATAGAAGTTCAGCTCCAATAGTAGTTCAGCTCCTAGAAGAATAAACAAAGATTGTTTAAGTACAAATCCTCTGGTTAAGGGCTTTGTAACATTTGGACAGTCAGTTATCCTTGAATAATTCTTTTTTTTGCAATCTTGTAGTAAGTCAGACTAAAAATGGAGATGTGCATCTCAGTTTGGGTTATCCATTCTGCCACTACTTTTGGATGTTTAAAAAGACTTTACAGGTTTAAAATATGGAATTGAAGGGAAACAATCCCTGAAATGGGAAAGAGAATGACAAAGCACGGAAGCCAAAGCATTGCAAGTGTTAAAATCTGATATCCTGGGTTACTGCAGAGCCAGGGTGGGGAGGAAATGGTCACAGAGCCAAGTCACTGACCTTTGCAAATAGTTTGGTTTCATAGTAAATGTGTGTGCTCCAGACTTCAACAAACATGGAAATCATTTCTCAGACCTACCTGTAAAATTGTAACACTCCAATTTTTTAATTATGCCTTGCAGCTGATTTGATGAAAGTAAGTTCCAGCAGTTAGAGTTTTCGGAGTTGGTAGCACTGCTTCTGTTTGTGATCAAACTGTGCATCACAGCTTAGAGGAGAACTGCCCAAGCAGTTTCTAAAAGTGCATTCCTGACATTTCCTGGCTGTTCTTAAACACTAACCAACGTGCTGCTTGTGCTTTGCAGTAGTCAATAAATAGACCTTACCTTGCTGCTTCTTCTTGTCTCTGTGACAAAGATACCAAATAAATATTAAAGACTACATCAAAAATTGGTGAATTGATGCTGGAGTGCTGTTTAAACTTGTTCTTTCCATAATTCTAGGAAAGACAAGTTCCATTTCTGTTTTATTTTTAACTTACTAACGTGTTCCTAGTCATGGTACTGTGTAGTGTTTAGCAGCAGCAGCCTGCAGTCCTTTCACACTGTTTGTCTCCTCAAGTGCAGAAGCAATTGAAGGCAGAGGCTCAGCCTGTGCTGTAGATTATTTATATTTTGCTTTGGAGTTTGTTCTGATAAGAATTTCCCAAGCAGCCACACAGTGCCAATGGCAAACCTTGCAGTTGGGAAGCTTTGGTGATTTCACCGTGAGAATGGAACAGAGTGGATTTCATGTCTGGCTTGAAACTTGCACTCAAGAAAATCAAACCCATTTCCTGCCTCAGAGTTCATCCCTGTAGAGATCCAGCTCTTCCATGAGCCTGGCATGAAGCTTTTCCCCATTCTGAATTAGCAGACCAGGGCAGGGGAGAGGGAGTTGAAGGGAACAGGTAAAATACTCTTCTTGAGGTTTTGTGTCCATGATAAAGCTCCTGAAAAGAATTGTCACTTGTCTGACACAGCAGCAGAAATTGGCATTCTGTACATCCAGTCTTTCTATGGAAAGTTCCCACTCTTTGAAAGGCACAATTCTTTAGGGCAAACTTTAAATTCCTATTGTTTAAATAAGAATTAAAATAACATTGAAGTATTTCTGACTCCTTAGAGTACAGAAGAAATTGCATGGTGGGAGAAAAAAAAAATCTGTTGGAGAATTAAAACCATCTACAAACTTGATTTTTGGGGGAAAAGTCCTGAAAAACATAACCTGTGAGGATGTTGTAGTTATATGGATTGAGGAAAAGAAGCATGAAAATGGTTTGGTTTGTGAGACTCTGTCAGTGTCCAAGTGAATGTAAATGTTTGACTTAAATAATAATATCCATTCTTGATATGTGAACTTTTTGGTTTTTTAGGCTTCTTTTTCCCAAGTTCTTGGACCAGTGTTCACAAGGTATGTGTCAATTTTCCTGACTTTGAGTTCTACGGAATTGGTCATTGTTGAAGGAGAAACTGCAAAATTCCCAGGACAAGAGTAGTTGATTTTCTTGCAGTTAAAATGCTGCAAGAATTAGAAATAACTGAGTCATGTGGCCAAATAAATACCTGTATTTATTATTTTGTGCTATTAATACACACAGCCAAAGGATCATGATAAACTCTTGGAGGTAAGAACAGACAATCTCTGTTAAACATCATAGGCAGAAAATGAAAAAAATGTGGAGCATGATCCGTTTTGAAGTCCTCATCTGCAGGATGGGTTTCCTAAGACCATTAATTAGACATTAATTAATTAAACTGCTTACACTGAACTGTTGTAACTGGGAGTGAAGTGGATTGGATTGGAGTTCCACCCTCCTTTGGGGATGTGTGAGGAAATGGAGCTTTCCTTTCACTTCTGCTCTATTAAAAAGGGAAAAATGAGGGGTGACCTTGTTCCCCAAATCCTCCTTTTGGTGTGGCCTTGCAGGGCTCATCTCCCACTGCAGCAAAGCAGCTCAGCTGCAGGGCTGGTCCTCACCTGTGGGTTCAGTTTTATTCCTGAAATCAGTCACTGGCAGGCTTGGGAATTGGAGCAGGAGCTGGCATAAATGGGATATGATCCTTCCTCACCTGCCCTCAAATCCCTGCCCCAGGTGTTCAAGGCCAGGTTGGGTTTATTTTGTCTTCATATTTAAATGCAGCTGTTGGAAAATCAGAGTAGGATGCTGTGCTCTTCTTGTGGCTGCTTCAAACTCTGATTGCTCTGCTTGGCTGCCAGAGTGCTGCCACCTCTTTTTCATGTGTGAAGAGAACCTTAAAGGATGAAGTTGTGAACAAGCTGGACAGAAAGTGGGTGCTGTTATATAAATCAGTATTTTTATTTGGAGAAAAATGTTGATGCTCCAAATTGGAAAATTATCATGTGTACAGCCACTGGTAAAATTGAAGAGAGCAGGAGAATGTTAAGAATATGAAAAATTATTAATGACTACAGAGAAATTAAAGGTGCAAATTGTTTTATGAAAGAATAAATAAAACAAATACTCAAAGCTTTGTTTTTCTTAGACTGAATTTGTACAGACTGGATTGGGTGGGAATTGGTCATTGTTGAAGGAGAAACTGCAAAATACTCAGGACAAGAGTAGCTGATTTTCTTGCAGTCAAAATGCTGCAAGAATTACAAATACTGGAGGTTAGAGGAATGTTCTTGTGGCAGGGAATAATTTCTGCACATTGCAAAGTGTTGTCATCCAGTTCTGTGATACAGAATGTGACATCAGATGGCCCAGGGGTCACTTTGTGGAAAGAAATAGTTGCACAAAAAAAGGGGTAATTTTTTTGTGCTCAGGAGTATGCTTTGAAGTGAGATGTGGCACACTTAAACTTTCCAGACAGATGCAGAACTGTGTCATGTGTGTAATAGAGAATTTACATCTGTATAATTCATGGAATCTCAGACTGGTTTGTGTTGAAGGGACCTTAAAGAGCCTTTAGTGCCACCCCCTGCCATGGCAGGGACACCTCCCACTGTCCCAGGCTGCTCCAAGCCCTGTCCAGCCTGGCTTTGGGCACTGCCAGGGATCCAGGGGCAGCCACAGCTGCTCTGAACAATTGAGAGAGAATTCATGATGGTTTCACACATACCTGGGAATTCATTTTTGGTGCAACAACAGCGAGATTTAATGAGACATTCACACAGAGATATTAATTCATATTTTTGGAATGTTGTGCACCCCAGTATTGTTTGTTTTGCTGTGTCACCAATGGGCCAGGACTGTGTTGTGTTGGTTTTTGGATTTTTTTTTTTTTTGTTTTTGTTGAAGTTGGGATTGAAGGTACTTGAGATGATACTTTGTGTTTAGATTTAAGTGTTTCTTTTTAAAATTTCTATTACAGTTTTATACGTAGTGGGTTATGTATTTAGTATCTTACTAATAAGGTACAAAATTTTTTTATAAGGTTTTTTAAGGTTAAACTATCTTATTAAGAAATGATACTTAAATTGTTTTTACTTTTAAGTTAATAATTAACTTAAATAACTTGAAGTCTGCAATGCAGACTTTTCTGTCTAATGAAAAAATACTACTCAAACTTATGAAGAAGGTGAAGAAAAAGGACTAGCTTTTGTTCTAAAACTTTTATTTTGTTTTACATATATATTACTATATTTTAAAACCCTAAACTCTTTAGGTTTTTTACTTTGTGATATTATATGCTTTTAACTAAATGGTGCACTTGTAATTTTAGTGTTATTAATTAATTTTGGAAGCTTTCTTTATGGCTTAAGGTCTAATATAGTGTTTTCTTGGGAAAAGTGGGTCTGTTAGTACAGAAAGTCTGAAATTCTCAGTATCTAGAACTCTAGCAGTGTTTTACTGGGCTTTGTACAGATCTGAAACCAGAACTTTGTGGGTGTGAGAAAAGCCAAGTGCAGCCATAGGCAAGTGGGAATTAATTAATTTGGAGCTGTGCTTTCTCCTTCTGTCTTCCAAATGTGGGGAGTGAGTTGGGTTTGCCTTCTGCTGCCTTTCTCTGTATCACAGGGGTTCCTGGGCATGTCATCAGTGTGACATTTTCCAAAATTTCGGTTTGGAGAGCCCCAAGACTGACAGAGGCAGATGAGGATTGGGGAGAACTGACAAAGCCTCGAGCAGAATGACCAACAGGAGTACCCTGTGCATACTTCCTTAAACTTCTCCAAAAATTCCTGCCACCAGCTGTGTGCTGTAATTCCCTTTTGTCTCTTTTCTCTTCCTTTTTCTGTCCTTTCTTTCTTTCTTGCACAGAAGCTGTAAGATGATACCTTCCTAGTCCAAGGGCACCCTGGCATCCCTTGTGAAACAATTTCCTATAGAACACAAATTAAGACATCACCATTGTTAAATATTCCCATTGTAAGTTTGGGAGCAAAGAGGAGCCATTATTTTCATACAGCATATGTATTTTTAATCCATCCCTCCTGTTCCTTTCCTGCTTCCATTGAACATGCTATTCCCCAGGCTGCAAGGGTTCTTTTCTTTAGAGGAGTGTATAAATAAAGATTTAAACAAAACTGGGTGGTCTTCAAAATGCATCTCTTAGAAACGGAGATGGCAGTGGCAGTTTAAATAGAAAAGGTTAAATTTGTTCATTACTGAAGCTGTGGAGGCACCTTCCACTTCTCAGGAGGTTGTTTTTCTTTGGATTACACTCCCTGTGCTCAGTCCAGGATCATGAACTGGTGCCTGTGATCCCAACACCTCCAGGATTTATGGCTGGGTGTGAGCAGAGCCAGAGCTCTGAGCAGGCTTCTCCTGCTTCCAGTGAGGAGTGTCAGGGAGTGCCCTGGGCAGGCACACCCAGAGCAGAGATTGATGGAGAAGGAGCAGGCTGCTGAGGAGGAGATGAGCTGCAGAGCTGTGCTAGGTTTGATTTCCCCTGAATATTTTTTTTTTTAACTTAGAGCTTTTCCAGCTTCTCCTTGACAGTTGTGGATTGTCTCCAAGGCACGGTGCTGCCAATTGTCACATGGACTCAGTGGCAGCTCTGTGGCACAGCCACAGGGTGGTGGTGGGTGATTCAGGAATCCCAGAATGGTTTGGGTTGGAAGAGACCTCAAAGCTCATCTCATTCCAACCCCCTTCCACCATCCCAGGCTGCTCCAAGCCCCATCCAGCCTGGCCTGGAATATTCCAGGGGTGGAATTATTATCTTATTCATGGTATAATTATACTATTCATATTTTTATCCTAATTTCATGATTAATATCCCCAAACTTGATATAATTTCAAGCCTGCATGTGGCTTAAATTTCAAAGGGTGCTTGCTGTTCTCCTTTCCTTTTCCCCCTCCTCCAAGAGCAAATGTGTATTGGAGAAGACATGGATGTTCCTGAAATTGGAGTAGAAACTTCTGTGCAAGGTTAGAAGAGAAATACAGTGATGGAGACTTGTGCTGTTAATGAAGTTCTGGCTTGGAAGGGTCAGTGGTGCAAAGAGCAGTGACTGGGAGTCTGTGGTGCAATGGGAGTGCCCCAGAAATATTTGGTGCAGGAATTTGTGTGTAAAGCAGCATGGATTAATGTGATTTAAGACTTGTGTAAAGACCAGGAATTACTGCAGGCAGCAGATCAGGTGTGATCAGTTGTTACATCTTTGCTTTGAATAGTTTGAGGCAGAGGAAATGCATCCTGGCTCTGTTGTTTGTGGATATTGGAGATTTTCTGTTCTTCCTTCCACCCCACTTGTAGTCACAGCAAAATGTCAGAGCAGGGCTGCACATCTTGAGCAAAGAAATAACATTTATTGTAAAATTGCAGAATTGTTTAGGTTGGAAAAGACCTCTAAGACCATCACATCCAGTCATCAACCCAGCACCACTGCCCAGTTCCCCATTACCCCTGCCAAGAGCCACATCCACGTGTTCTTTGAACCCTTCCAGGGATGGGGACTCCCACTGCCCTGGCAGAACCCTTTCCATGAAGAAATATTTCCTAATATCTCATCTAAACCTCCCCTGGCACAACTTGAGGCCGTTTCCTTTCCATTTCCTCTCCATCCCTCATGTCCAGGACAATACAGCCATCCTGGGGAGGCACCAAGTGTTGACACTGCAGTTTCTGTGAGGAACTGGGCTGAAAGTCAAATCATGTATCATTGGAAAGCAGGGATCCTACAACTGGAATTAACTGGATGGTTTTCTGGTATCTTTTTGATGCCTCATGGGTTCAGTGTTGCTGTCTGAGTACACTTTTGGAGTCTTTAAAGACAAAAAATAACCCTAAACCCTTCTCTCGTTTTTGGAAGTGGCAACTGAGTGTCCAAAATACTGATTTTTAGCTGTTCAGTGTCTTACTGCACGTTGAATTCACCAAGAGATTTTACACCTTATTGTTCTCTTTTTCTTAAACTAGTCCTGCTCAGATTGATTCTTGCATGGATTTGTTATTTTAATGAATAGATTCTATGGATTGAGTCTAAATTGATTCTGTTAGATGGAAGATTTCTGCTTGGTTTTTCTGCTGTAGTGGATTTTCTTTTTGTCTTTCATGAAAGAATGCAGTGAGAGGGAAGGAAAATAAGAGAAGAATGGTTGGAATATCACTGAATGGTTTATTAGTCACTGTTTACATGCCTGAGCTGTAAATTATCCCCTGATTTCCTTCCACAGGACTGGTGAGTAACGTGGTTTTCACAAGTCATGCCACAGAGCAGAGACACCCACTCCTGATGCAGCTGCAGAGCCTGATCCGAGCAGCAAATCCTGGAGTTTCCTTCATCCTGGCAGAAAATGGGATTGTAACAAGGTAACTTCCATCAGGATTTATTGCTTTTGGCACATGGGCCACCAGCACTCAGAAACTTCTGTTCTCTTCTTTTTACTCTGCTGATTTATAGGAAGGAAATGCAGATTTTTCTTAATTGCTTCTCGTGCAAAAGGGATTTTCCCTTTACCTTTATGAGCACATAAATACAGGGATTAGGAAATGTGTTTTGTTTGCAGAGTGTGATTTATGTTACTGTTACTGCCATACTAAAGGAAAAGTGCTCTTAATTTTACTGTCACTAGCACATTATGTTTTATGTAAGTAGATAGTGGCCATTTTATTTAACTTAGACAATTAAAAATCTTCATTTTTATCTCTTTACAGGAACGAGGATATTGAACTAATTCTCTCAGAAAGCAGTTTTTCAAGTCCTCAGATGATGAGAGCTCGATATTTAATGTACCCTGGCTGGCAAGTATCTAGACTGAGAAGTATTAAAACTATTTTTCTAATTAACTTGACAATTAAAATGTTTCACTAACTTCATTTATATTTTTTTTTTCCCTGAGACTACTCATTTGGAACAGGCAGCAGCTTTGTAAATCATTTTTAAGAGAGCTGATGATTATTCTTAGTGGATACAAGATTGCTGCCCTTTTATGGGGGAAAAAGCTCCTTTCTGGTCACCATTTAAATCAATGGCAAGATTACTGTTGCTTTCCAGAAGAATAGGCAAGAACCCTGTGGGAATAAACTGGGAAGGATTGGGATGGGTGAGGTCAATAATGATTGGAGTAATTTCATCCTGACAGCTATTCAGCATTACTGGAATGAACTTGCTCTGTCAGTCTGGCCATCAGCAGAGCAATTATTCACAAAAGCCAGGAACCTCAGTGACAGCCCTGGCACAGCTCAGGCACAAACCCACGTGGCACCAAACTTTCCACTGAACACCGAGGGAGATTTCTCCTGGCTCAGGGCTCTTCACACATCTTGTTGCAATTCTTTCTGCTGCACCTTTTTGGCAGAAATCTGCAGCTGTCAGCCAGCATAATTGCTGGCTGACCAGGCTCTGTGCTGGAAACATCATTTATTTATCATACCTTGCAGTCCTCTGTATCTCTTTCTTAATAAATTTGGTTCTGAATTGGATGCAAGTAGCCAAGTAAAGCTACTGGAGTGAAGCACAAGGCTTGGGGTGAGGATATTGAATTAATATCATCAGAGCTGCTTGTGGATTGCATGGAGCCAAAGAGAGAGAGCAGGAAAAGAAAATATTTCAAACTTTTGGGCAGCTGTTTATTTGATGACAGTATGCAAGAATTGGATCTGGGTAATGTGGAAGAGAAGGAAAGCAGCAGGAAGAGCATCAGAAGCATCCCGGGAGATTTTATTGCAGCATTACCTAAAGAGGGCTTATAAAAAAGGGGTAGAATGACTTTTTACATGGGTGGATGGTGACAGGACAATGGAGAAGGGTTTTAAGCTAAAAGAAGAGAGATTTAGATTAGATGTTAGGGAAAATTCTTCCCTGTGAGGGTGCTGAGCCCTGGCACAGGGTGCCCAGAGAAGCTGTGGCTGCCCCTGGATCCCTGGAAGTGTCCCAGGCCAGGTTGGAGCAGCAGGGCTTGGAGCAACCTGGGCTAGGGGAAGGTGTCCCTGCCCATAGCAAGGGTGGGAATGAGATGATTTTTAAATTCTGACTGAAACCATTTCATGACTCCATGAAAAGGAGTCCTGAGTGCTTTGACCAACCTAATGCTGTTGGCAGCACATCCTCACAGAGAAGAAATCTCTGTATTTCCCCTCCTGTGAGCGAGGCTCATCTGTGCTGAAAGAACAGATGTTCTTTGCTGGATGAGCAGCAGAAGCTGCTGTGATTTCTGTGTGCTGAAGGGGTTTGTTTTTGTCCCCAGGTTCGAGGGCAGATATGGGGCTGGGCCCGTGTTCCCTCCCATGGTGCAGATCTGTGTGTGGTTCAGCCGCCCTCTGGAGAAAACACGATTTGTCACCAAATGCAAAGGTACCAGTGAACTTTGCCTGACTTGATTGAAATCCAAGTTTGGGATGCTGAGGGATAGAGGGGAAGGAAGGCACTGACGTAACACGGTTATTTAATCACTGCTGAAGTTAACTTTTAATTGAAAACTCAGCTTTCCTTCCTAAAAGTACAGTAAATTTTGTTCCTTAGTGTCTGCTCTGGAAAATTGTCCCATGATTTTTGTTCAGATGAAAGTCTAATTGAATTTTTGGTTTCTAGGACTGAAACAACTTCCTGTGTTTGCTTTTTTGTTTTATGTCTCATTGTATTTGGTAGTGTTGAAATGCAGTTTTATAAGTGATCATCAGCTTCTACTTTTTATGCCAAATAATTCTTTGTAGCTCCTAGAAAACAGACTCTGCTCTAGAGTAGACACATTGTCAAACCTCTCCTTCTCTGCTCAGCCAAGTGGTGTTAAAGAGGAGGATTTTACCTCCCATACTCACTGTAGAGTTTTTTATGCCAAACACACCTTATTTCCCAAACTCCATGGCAAAGAATGAGAAAATAAATGTTACATAGTGGGACTCCAAGGGGCATGGCAGCTTTTCCTTTGGAAGCACTGGCATGTAGATTAGAGATCAGTTGCACAGGTTTTACCAGAAGCTCTACCAAGGAGAAGAAAAATAAGTTGAAATAATCTGTTTATCTTCTGTTTCAAACAGCAATTAAGTCGTTGCTCAAGCCAAGTCCTTTTTCTGGAAACATTTATCACATCATGGGCAAAGTGAAGTTTTCAGGTAAGGGCAAATTACTCTGAGGTGTTGTGATCACGCTGCACCTTATGGGTGTTCAAAAAGGTATTTCTGTCCTGGATTCTGTCTGCACCAGTGCTGATGTTAGATTAGATTAGCAATTATCAGGCTCTTCCTTCTGTCTTCTCCTTGTTAGATGCTGATAAAGTCATTGAAGTCTGTCACAACACGGCAGCAAATTCCCTAAGCCTGGTGCCTGTTCCGGAGGGGCCGACTCCTCCCGATGCCAGAAATGATCCCAGAGACTGCAGCAGTCAACAGGAATATTTCCTTGTGTTCATTGGCTGCTCCCTGAAGGAAGAGGATATCAAAGATTGGCTCAGAGAAACTGCAAAACAGGTTTGTGGGCATGTTTCCTTTTGTTCAGTGCTTGGCATTTCTTAACAACCAAATCCGAGTGTTTCAGTGAAACTTTTGGGTTTCTTAATTAATCTCTTTCTTTTTTTTTTTTTTTTCTTCTACCAAGGTATTGACATTCTAGGGTGCAAATGGATTTCAGGAAGGGGACTAAGAGTTTACAAATGTGTGTTGTAATCTCTGTATTGTTTTAGTGCTTGCTACAGCTTATTCATGGATTGATTTGCTCTTGAATGCTTGAGCAAATGGATTATGTCCAGGATAAACACAGGATGATTTAGCTGAGCTGTGATTGCCAAGGGCTGAAGTGTGCTGTGAAATAAATCTTCTTCCAGTACCTGAACGCTGGCAAAGCTGAAAATTTGTTTTGATTCACTAAATTAAACCTCCTTGGAAGTAATCCACTGAAAAGGAGGGTAGAGTCCTGTTCATTTTGTCATCTTTAATTAGTGTATTTCTGCATGGCTGATATATCCGTGCAGTGAGGAGTAGGGAGCAGGGAATGAGGCTGTTGTAGGAAGCTCAGAGGGCAGAATTTACACAGAGGGACTGCCACAGCTGATTGACAGAATCACAGATCCATAAAATCCTGCAATGGTTTAGCTTGGAAGGGACCTTAAATCCCATCCAATTCCACCCCACTGCCATGAGCTGGGACACCTTCCACCATCCCAGATTGTTCTAAATCCTGTCCAACCTGGCCTTGGACACTTCCAGGGGATCCAGGGGCAGCCACAGCTTCTCTGGGCAACTTTTTGGAACATTTGTAAATTAAAAAATACTCCATGTTACTTCTATATGGATTAGGATTTGCACAGTATCTCCCTCCAAAAATCTGTAGGAAGGGAAAAGTGTTTCCTGCTGACTGTGGCTGGAGCAGTTGCTAAGGTTCCAAGATTTCTGAGGTTTTTGAATTTCTGAGATGCTCAGGTTCTCATCTTGTGTTCCCCTGTGTTAATTCAGGGAATTAATCCATTTTCTATGCTGATTATCTCATGCTCTGTACTTACCTCAGGGATAATATATGGAGAAAAATGCTTTGCCATGTAAGAAAGCTCTTTGTGGAATACTACTTAAATTTTCTGAAAACTTGGAACTTAAATGCTTATCTCAAGTGTGAAGTGTTTCCTCTTTGAGCAATTCAGGACTATAAACACTTTCTGTAGAGTCATGGCTAATTGAGGGTTTCAGATAGCTCTAAGAGTTACCACATGCTGCAGCAAAGAAAGGGATTACAGAATTTCTCAGGCTCAAAACTAAGTTGTTTTTCTGTTCCTGTGCCAGCTTTCTTACAGTAAAGCTGTATTTAAATTGTCTTGTTTAAAATACTTACAGAATTTTTAATTTCTGAGTGTTTTCTGTAAGATCAGTGAATTTTTGTTTTGTTTTCAGAACATAGTTGTGAGTGCCTTCATAGAACTGGATAATTTTAGAAATGAATTTTTTGAAATACAAGCTTCTATGTGGTGGTTTTTTTTGTTGTTGGTTTTTTTTTTTCTTTTTTTTTTTTTGTTTTTAATTTATTTTTTAACCATCTAAGCTGTGGTATCACATTATCACTGTAGTCACATAACTGGAATCTCCTCCTTCATACAGAAACCTCAGAGGAAAGCCCTGAAAACCAGAGGAATGTTAACTCTTCAGGAAATCAAAAACATCCACGTGAGTAAAAGCAATAATTCACAAACCCTTCTTTTGGCTGATTTCCCTTAAATATCCATCTGGATGACAGAGCACCTGCCACAACAAGTGTGCTGAGCACTAAATTATTACAGCACATTTGGAGCTGTCCAGGAGGGATTTGAGGTATAAATCTGATCTCAGAGCTCCAAATTCCCTCTGGAAAGCAGGAGAAGGTGTAAAATTGGCCATCTTTGGTTGCTGTAATGGCCCTTCCATTTTCTTTTATCTATTTCAGCTTGTAAGGACTGTCCCTACAGGTGTTTAATTTAAATTCTTTCCTGCTGCAGGTGAAACGCCACTTGGATCCACTCCCAGCTGGTTATTTTTACAATGGGACTCAATTTGTGAATTTTTTTGGTGACAAAATGGATTATCATCCATGTATCCTTTAAAATGGGAGGTTTTGGGGAAGGTTTTAGGTAGGCAGTGAACTGTGCAGCTCTGAAATGTTAAGTGCCAAAGCAGATATGGTAAAGAACCAGTTCCTTGCCAGCTAAAGCTTAGTTTTAAAGCCTTTCTTGAGAGATAAGATCTCAGAAACAGAATAGAACCAACAAAACAAACCCCAAACTGCCCATGAGCTCATGCAGGGGATAATTTATGGACCACAGCTTGTCAAAGAAATATTTTTCAAACCAAATAGTGCTGTAATAGCCCTGAATGCCTGGGCACGACTGATAAAACTTCCAAATGAATGTAATTTCATGTGTGCACACACTCAAGTGAAAACAATCATATTTTTGTCCTTAGTTTTACCCTGGGATTCCTTGCCAAGGTTCCTCTTGTCCTTGGTCACCACCTGGGGAGCTGGGGCAGTGGTGGCCATGGCAGTGCTGGGTTTACAGCTGCACTTGGTGATCTCAGAGGGCTTTTCCAGCCTTCATGATTCTGTGATTCTCTCATTTTCATAACTTCCTGTTGCTTTTGTCTTTGCTCACCAGCTTCCAACTTGGTTTTATATTCCCAGTTTACTTTTCACAGTAACTTCTCCAAGCTTGGTAAAAATCCAGGTGATGCTGCTGTGGAATAAGAACAGAGTTATTTTCTGTGCCCTGTGGGACAACTTTAAAATTTTAAACAAGCAGATTTCTGTCTGCAGGACACAAAACCCAACAGCAAACTTGGACTTCACTGAAAAATTCTTGATGCCCCATCCCTGGCAGTGTCCAAGGCCAGGTTGGTGGGGCTTGGAGCACCCTGGGATAGTGGGAGGTGTCCCTGGCCATGGCAGGGCATGGGATGAGATGGACTTAAAGCTGCTTCCACCCCAAACCATTCCAGGATTCTTCACTCCACCTCCCCCTTGGTGTGTGGCAGGGAGAGCTGCAGGCCTGGTTGAGCCTTTCTGGGGGATTTGAATTTTGGGCAGAGTTTTAGATTTGTGCTTCAGCAGAACAGCTGGAAATGTGTTCACAGAGTCCCAGAATGGTTTGGGTTGGAAGGGATCTTGAAGCTGATCTTGTTCCAGCACCTTCCAGGGATGGGGAGTCCAAAACCTCTTTGGGCAACTCATGCCAGGGCCTCACCACCCTCCCAGGGAAGAATTTTTTCCTAACATCCCATTTAACCCTGCTATGGTTTTGCTGTTCTTAGATCTTCCTCCTGGCTGGGAAGTGTCCCTTGTGCAGTTGCTTTATTCCCTGAGTTGTGGTAGCTCTGACTGTAGAACTTCCAGAAAGTTATATATTGAATTTCTGCTTTCAGTGAGTGTCCCATTCCTAGCACTTCCTTCAAACCTGGATGTTTTTTTTCTACTAAACTCCCTTTGCACAAATATTCTTCCTTCACCTTTCCCAACCAGTAATGGACCAGTTCATGAATGATTACTTGGAAGAAGCCAACAGAGAAATTGAGAAGTACAACAGGGAGCTGGAGGAGCAGGAGTACCACGACCTCTTTGAGCAGAAGATTTAAGCACGTGGATCCCGAGCGTTCCTGTCCTTGTGTCAGGAACCAAAAATGCTATTTTGTCCTTCTGGCTCACAAGAAACCGAGTGAAATGTCTGTTTTCAGCACTCCTTCCCAAACTAAGGGATTGTTCCCCTAAGGTTGGCATTTAACACGGTAACTGCTTAGCTGTTTGTACTGTCAGGATTGCTTCCACTTCACCTTAATTCCAGACTGTACAAAGCATCACCTGGAATCTCTGGCTTGTGGTGGAGACATGGGAAAAAGAAGAAGAAGAAGAAGGAGAAGAAAAGAAGCAAAACTGGATTTATTTCCTAAAAAAGGTCAGAATGTAATTGTGGAATTGGGCCATGGTGCAGATATCAAACAATTCCTGTATGTCCCTTGGAAGTCGTTGCACTGGAGCATCGATGGTCAGTGGGGGAGTTCAGGGTGTGGGATTGGGGTGTTCCCAAAGCCAGAAATGGGGGAACAGACTCAGAGGAGTCCCCGATCCCAGAACTGTTTAGGTGTTCCCGAAGCAAAAAATGGGGGAATAATTAAAAAAAGTAAGAGTCCCTAATCCCACAGCTCTTGGTGTGTTCCCAAAGCAAAAAATGGGGGAATACTTAAAAAAAGTAAGAGAATCCGTAATCCCACAGCTGCTGGGATGTTCCCAAAGGGAGAAATGGGGGAACAGTGAGAAAAACTTAGAACTGAGGCCCTGATCAGCAGTTGTTGGGGTGTTCCCAAAGCAAAAAATGGGGGAATTATTAAAAAAAGTAAGAGAATCCCTAATCCCACAGCTGCTGGGATGTTCCCAAAGCGAGAAATGGGGGAACAACTCAGAAAAATCCCTAATCCCACAGCTCTTGGTGTGTTCCCAAAGCAAGAAATGGGGGAACAGTGGGGAAAACTCAGAACTGCGTCCCTAATCAGCAGCTGTTGGGATGTTCCCAAAGTGAGAAATGGGGGAACACTTTCTGAGAGTCCCTAATGCCACTGTTGTTAGGGTGTTCCCAAAGCGAGAAATGGGGGAACAATTGGAAAAACTCAGAACTGAGTCCCTAATCAGCAGTTGTTGGGGTGTTCCCAAAGTGAGAAATGGGGAACAGCGGGGACAACTCAGAATTGGGTCCCTAATCCCACAGCTCTTGGTGTGTTCCCAAAGCAAGAAATGAGGGAACACTTCTCAGAGTCCCTAGTCCCACAGATTCTGGGCTGTTCCCAAAGCAAGAAGTGGGGGAACAGTGGGAAAACTCAGAACTGAGTCCCTCATTAACAGTTGTTGGGGTGTTCCCAGAGCGAGAAGTGGGGGAACACTTTCTCAGAGTCCCTGATCCCACAGCTCTTGGTGTGTTCCCAAAGTGAGAAATGGGGGAACAGTGGGGGTAACTCTGAAGAGCCCCTGATCCCAGAGTTGTTGGTGTGTTCCCAAAGCAAGAAATGGGAGAATGATTCAAAAACTTAGAATCCCTGAATCTGCAGCTGTTGGGATGTTCCCACAGCGAGAAATGGGGGAACAGTGGGGAAAACTCAGAAGTGAGTCCCTAATCCCACAGCTGCTGGGATGTTCCCAAAGTGAGAAATGGGGGAACAGTGGGGGAAACTCTGAAGAGCCCCTGATCCCAGAGTTGTTGGTGGGTTCCCAAAGCAAGAAATGGGAGAATGTTTCAAAAACTTAGAATCCCTGAATCTGCAGCTGTTGGGATGTTCCCACAGCGAGAAATGGGGGAACAATGGGAAAAGCTCAGATGGGAACCTAATCCCACAGCTCTTGGTGTGTTCCCAAAGTGAGAAATGGAGGAACACTTTCTCAGAGTCCCTAATCCCACAATTGTTGATGTGTTGCCAAAACAAGAAATGGGGGAACAGAGGGAAAAACTCAGATGAGCACCTCATCCCACAGCTGCTGGGATGTTCCCAAAGCGAGAAATGGGGGAACAATGGGAAATATTCAGAACTGAGTCCCTAATCCCAGAGCTGTTGGTGTGTTCCCAAAGCAAGAAATGGGAGAATGATTAAAAAAATTTAGAATTCCTGAATCTGCAGCTGTTGGGATGTTCCCAAAGCGAGAAATGGGGGAACAGTGGGAGCAACTCAGAAGAGTCCCTAATCCCAGAGCTGTCAGGGTGTTCCCAAAGCGAGAAATGGGGGAACAATGGGAAATAATCAGAACTGAGTCCCTAATTCCAGAGCTGTTGGTGTGTTTCCAAAGCAAGAAATGGAAGAATGATTCAAAAGTTTAGAATTCCTGAATCTGCAGCTGTTGGGATGTTCCCAAAGCGAGAAATGGGGGAACAATGGGAAGAACTCAGAATTGAGTCCCTAATCCCAGAGCTGTCAGAGCATTCCCAAAGCAAAAAATGGGGGTGTGGGAAAAGCTTGGATGAGCACCTAATCCCACAGTTAGGATGTTCCCAAAGTTACAGATGGGGGAACAACGGGACAAATCCAGAAGAGTCCCTAATTAACAGCTGTTGGGATGTTCCCAAAGCGAGAAATGGGGGAACAGTGGGGAAAGCTCAGAACTGAGTCCCTGATCCCACAGCTGATGTTGTGTTCCCAAAGCCAGAAATGGGGGAACAGTGGGGAAAGCTCAGAACTGAGTCCCTGATCCCACAGCTGATGTTGTGTTCCCAAAGCCAGAAATGGGGGAACAGTGGGGAAAGCTCAGAACTGAGTCCCTGATCCCACAGCTGATGTTGTGTTCCCAAAGCCAGAAATGGGGGAACAGTGGGGAAAGCTCAGAACTGAGTCCCTGATCCCACAGCTGATGTTGTGTTCCCAAAGCCAGAAATGGGGGAACAATGGGAAAAGCTCAGAATGGAGTTCCTGATCCCACAGCTTTCAGAGAGTTCCCAAAGTGAGAAATGGGGGGACATTTTCTCCGAGTCCCTAATCCCAGAGCTGTTAAGATGTTCCCAAAGCAAGAACTGGGGGAACAGTGGGGAGAACTCAGAACTGAGTCCCTGATCCCACAGCTGCTGTTGTGTTCCCAAAGCGAGAAATGGGGGAACATTCTCCAGAGTCCTTCATCCCAGAGCTGTCAGGGCAATCCCAAAGGGAAAATTGTGGAAACAGTGGGAACAATTCAAAAAATCTCAGAGGTGTCAGGGTGTTCCCAAAGAGAGGGATGAGGGAACACTCCCACTCCCACCTTTGCCAGGGCTCAGCCCATCTCAAACCTCAGCACAGTTTGAGTCTGCACTTAAAATTCTGACTTTAAAAAAAAGCTATTTATACATTTCAGGGTGAAATCAGTGGAGAAATCTTAATTTCTTCCCAGTGCTCTCATTGGGATTCTGGAAAATATTTCCTGGCTGGCTGCAATGTGCACCTTGCTTAGATTATCCCTGGAGGATTCCTATTGCAGTCCTAAAAACTAGGCAAGGCAAGGGGGAGATTCTTCAGCTGAAGAATTCCTTTTCATGAAGATAAATGATTTCCAAAGGTAAAAAATAGCAAAGGATATTACTTGAAAGAGGCAGGAACTTGTTTGTGGAGCTTCCAGAAGAGTTTGCACGCCGTCACATTTCACTGTGCTGGTGAGAAATCAGCTTTTTAAGTATTGCAACAGAATTTTTATAGTTCCTAAATGATAGAACAGGAATGCTGGCAGCCTGTCGTGACTTAATTCAGAATCATTTTAAAGGAGGCTTTATAAATCCCTGCCTGAAGGATTATAAAGTACCTTAGCAGCTACTTACAGGTAATTATTGGAGTTTATTTGAATAAGCAGTTTATTGTAGCATGCATGTGTTCAGAATTTAGGTGAGAGCAGCCCAGCAGGAATTTTTTATTTTCATATTCCTTTGCCTTAGGGACAGCTCAATCTTTTACTGCAACTGCAGCTTTTCTTTCTGACCAGATGTTTGTGATACAGCAAGAAATGGAATGAAAAATCTCTTGCAGGACACTTAAAATACTTCAAATGTATCTGCACAGCCTCATCCCGAGGCAGGAAAATGAGATTTAACCCCTGCCATCAAACCTGAGGCTAAATTAAGAGTTTATGCTTTGCTAAAGAGATGTATTTTTTACCTTTGGAACATGAAATAAGTGAAATTTCAGTGACCTGAAGCACATTTTAGGTGGTTTTGGTTTTCACTGCTGGGTGCCTGTGCAGAGGTGGAATTCCAGGTGCTGCAGGCTGGGATAGAAATATTGATAAGATTTCATTCCTCGCTTTCCTCCTAGATTTAAAAAAGCTGTCTGAATTGAAGACTTTAGTATTTTATTTCCTTTTTTTTTTTTGCACACCACGAGACTTTATATAAAAACAACTTGTATCCTGTTAGAGGCCAGTAAAAGCCAGCAATTAGTTTGTGTTTTTAGGCTTTCCTGGGGTATTCCCTGGATCACAAGTGTGGAGCATCCTGGTAAAGCTCGTGAGTTTTATCTATGCATGGCTAAATTTTAGTCTTAATATCCTGTAGTGCCTGTAGAGCAAAGGTAGCTAGCAGTGGGTTTGGGGGGGCTGCCAGGGGTTTACAACTAAATCCAGTTGGTTGCATGAAATTCTTTCACAGCCCAGAATTTTTAGGGATCCCAAAAATTCTGGTGGCGGCGCTGCAATAAAAAGGGGCATTAGGAAATTGAACTCCAATTGGAATTGCTTTGCCAATTAACTCAGTGTAAACCCAGCTGTTCCAGTCCCAGTTCTCTCACCTGCAAAGCCATATTTTTAGAGTAGTGGGATGTGATGTGGGAAGAAATTCCAGTGGTTGGGACAGCAGGCACGTGGTGGAGGCTTTGTCTCAACTCGTGATGGATACAGAGTAGATTTAAGTGCAATTGATTGAAAATAGATGAAGATGCTGTAGCTGATTTTTGCTCTGCTGAACTCTTTTTAAGAACTCCAATTTGTGCAGCTCTCAAATCAATATGGATGGGGCTTGATCCAGCTGGAATGCCAAGCCCTGTGAACAAAATAAAAAAAAGGAAATAATTGGGTTGTGAGTGTGCAAATTGAGGTGTTCCTTAAAAACTGGAGCAGAAGAGCTCGGAACAAAGGCCTAGAACCCTCCTGTCCTGTGCTGCATGTGCTCTATGGTCATAGCTGTGTATTACAAAGACCTTTCACCAGACTGCTACTGGCTCAATTCATGTATTTTGGTATTGAAAGAAATTGATTACCTCAATTTTTAGCGTTTATTTTTGAACTGTGACTTTCAACCAGAACAAAAAAAGAGAAAAATACCGAAATAGTGAAACTGTGACAATGGTGTCCTTTAAATGTAGTAGTGCCTTGCAGATGACACCATTTATTCCCCAAATAAATGGATGTCAGGGGTTGCACCCCCCACTTTTTTTTTTTTTAAAGGAAAATAACGGTTTTGGTGAAAGGACTTAAAAATTTAACCTAGTGACAAATATTAGCACAAATGGTTAAACTGTTTAAAAGAAAACTCTTTGAGGACTGAAATGCCTGATGCTGCTGCTGTTGAAGAGCAGTTGCTGATTTTTTGGGAGTCGATTCTAACAATCAGCAGCGCTTTTTGAATTTTATTTATTTTTTTTTTTAAAAGAAGAGTGTAACTTTTGTTCAGAACGCTTTTTTGATTTTTTTTTTTTT